CAGGCCTTAAACTCTTCAGACACCTGGTTCCCATCACCACCACTGTAAACAATTCTGACTCTGTAAGTTTCTCTAGAACTGAGTATTTCACTCCAAACCACTCTGAATGAGTTTGTTTACATCTTGACCAATTAATTAACAAATTTATTCAACTAGCCTCACTCAGGCAATTAATCATTCGAGCTCCTGCTTTGTTGGAATGAAAACCTGCAGCTTTGTCGGCCCTTTGCAGATAAGAGTGGACACCTCTGGTCTTTGGGAGGCTTTTGGGCTACAAAGCTGAATTTATGAAATGACTGGGTGGACGGAAGAAGCACTTGAATCAATAATTGACTCAGAAAGTGATGGATTAATTCATTAGTAATCAGTCAGTTAAGCTCTTAAAGGGTCCGTATGTGAACCCACACCTCAGTTCTCTCTCTCAAATTATATAACTTAGTTTCATAGAGGATACATTTGTTTCATAGTAGCTATACTTTTACTAAGGATGGTACAAGGGTTCTTTAGTAAAAGGAATGGTTCTATGTAGAACCATGAGAGCTATATAGAAGCATTGCATGCTTAAATGGTTCTTTGCGTGGTAAAATTGTTCTTCAGATTGATGGAGAGTGTGCTGTATACGGTTCTACATAGAAGGTTTTTGAAAAGGGTTCTGTATAGCACCGAAAAGAGTACTTCTGTTGTATACAAGCTTGACACCATAACAATAGCAGAACCCTTTTTGGTGCTATATAGAACCACAACACAAACCTTTCTGAAAAGGGTTCTATATAGCACCAAAAAGGGTTCTTCTTTACAAGTTTGACACTGTACCAATAGCAGAAACCTTTCTGGTGCTATATAGAACCACAACACATTCTCCATCAATGTGAAGAACCGTTTCACCATGTAAAGAACCATTTAAGCATGAAATGCTTCTATATAGAACTCAAGGTTCCAAATAGAACCATTCCTTTTACTAAAGAACCCTTGAAGAACCATCTTTTTAAGAGTGTAGTAGCTCCTGCAAAATGTGCAATCACTGCATGATCAGTATTCAAATAAATAAATAAATAAATAAATCATGAATATCCTGCAGTTTATGGAGTTAAATAAAAATATTTAATCAAAAGCAAAAAAAAAAACCTTCCCTAAAGCTTCCCTCTCTTTGACTGGTATTTCAGTAAGATATCATTGCATTTGTTATCATAACAAAAATAAAAGTAGTAATACTAATAAGAAGAAGAAGAATGAGGAGATGATGAATGTGTGTGTAAGACTGATATTTACATGCTATTAGGAAGCCACTGGATGACTGGGTGCCCTTGTCACATGACTTCCCGCAACACGGCAGCCGTATTCAGCCACGCTCTCCAGCAGATGATGTCATATTAGGTCATCGCTGCATGTGAACGCTGAGCGCTCACTGCGATTTGTCTTTCATAAAGAGCTTTATGGATTAATGACCTGTGACGTAATCAGCCTGCAGACAATAATCAACATTTTGCTGCTGAGGTGTGCAGCCGCTCACAGACCTTTCAGGAAATGATACTTGACTCATTAAAGTAAATAGATCAAAAACACAAACAAAGGGTGAAAAAGGGAGGGGTGAAGTGGACAAAAGAGTGCAACCCGCAGACAGGCTGGGGCGAAAGGGAAACATTATCCGGGATCCATAGCTGATATTGATTTGGGCCTCGGACTCCCAGTGGACACCATTAGTGCAGGCAGATGACCTTTTGGACATTCTGACTGTTGGGCCCAATCTGGTGTGTAAAAGAAGCCCACTGTACGTTTACCTGGGCCGAGGGGCGTAGCAATGCACAAGTTCCACAATACAATGTGCATTGTGGTTTTTGTACTACAGTGCGTTTTTTATATATATACATATATATATATATATAAAAACCATCTCACCACATCACCCTGACCATAACACATCTCAGGGAATCTCTTCCCATTTACTGGCTCAAGAGATTACACAATCAGCATAAGTGTGTATGATGTCATAGCGATGATGCAGGATCTGGTAATGTTTTATTATACAGTAACAGCTGATGCCAGATCAGCTTGTGCGTATAAGGACATCATATCTGCTCACTGCATCAGACGTTTGCTTTATTGGATTCTGCAGCCTAATTTTTTCAAACTTGGATAGAAGTGAATCAGGCCACTCGTTTCCAGACAGTCTGTTCGATACTCAATGATGAGAACTGATAATAATGTAGAGATGTAAGAAGTCTGCTCAGGTCTGAAGGCCAGACAGAGAGAGAGGGAGAGAGAGAGAGAGAGAGAGAGAGAGAGAGAGAGAGAGAGAGAGAGAGAGAGAATGACAGAGACAGAGTTAGAGGTGCAGACAGACAAAGAGAGAGAGAGAGAGAGGGAGAGAGAGACTATATACCAGTATCATATCATGTTAACTACTTAACTAGTGCTCTACAACAGCAAATGAAACATTTTTTTATTATTTTTAGACTTATTCACTATTAGTATTATCATTAGACCAATAATAATAATAATAAGAAGAAGAAGAAGAAGAAGAAGAAAAGAATTACAAGAATAATAATAGTCTTATTATTACTATTATATAGTTTTTATTATTGTCATTGTACTCATCATAGATATATTATTAATGTTTGATTAATATTTATTATTACTAATATTATTAATATTATTATTAGTATATTTATTATTTTATCCCTCCTTCGCTCCAGGTGTGGACGTGCTGCTGTCTGGACAGAGTACAGGAGTGACTGTTTTTTTGGAGAGAGAGAGAGAGAAAAATAGAGAGCGACAAGGGAGAGAGAGAGAGAGAGAGAGAGAGAGAGATTATGTATCAGTATAAACTAAATGCATGTTGATGCGCTTGTTATCCTGTCATGTTAACTACTTAACTAGTGCTCTACAACAGCAAATGAGATATTGTTTATTTTTTATTCTTTTTAGACACTATTGTTATTAGGCCTATAATAACAACAACAACAACAATAATAATAATAATAATAATAATAATATTTCTATTGTTATTATTTTATTGTTGTTATTATGTAGTTAATGCCATCGTTATTATTATAACCATCATAGGCATAATTATCAATATTTGATTAATATGCATTATTACTGGGGGTATATTTATTATCATGTCCCTCCTTTGCCCAGGTGTGGACGTGCTGCTGTCTGTACAGGAGTCACTCTTTTGTTCGCTCTTTTCTCTCCGCAGTCCGTCTCTCTCTCTGACCCACCGCAACCCCTCCGGAGGGCGGAGCCCCAGCGCTGTTTATCAGCCTGTATGTGTGCGTGTGTTGGGGGTGGGGGTCTGCCCCCCACCGAGGGGTCGGTCTGATAGAAAATGGCCGAGACAGAGATGAGCAGCACGTGGGTCTCCATCAGCGCTTCAGTCAGCATCTCCGCGGCGGAGAGACCGAAACACAACACTGAAAAACAAAACCGCTCGAGCGTTTCATTACGGGTGAAGGGCGCGCGGCGACACAAACAGCAGCTCGTCCCGGTGAGGCGGAGCGAGCAGCTCTGTTGAGGGAAACCGCCGCTGGAAACGAGACAAATCCAGACTGAAAGCAGAAAGCAGGCGGCTCGCTAGACGTGAGCCAGACGGGGCGGGGTTAGTCACATGCCCCGCCCCTTCTCCCCACCCCGTGGTGCAGTCTGGCCCCGCCCCCACGACCCGTTTCAATTCTCTTCAATTCAATTTCATTTGTGCAGCGCTGTTTAGGACAGACACCGTCCCAAAGCTAGAAATCTAGACCTCCGGGTCCAGACCTTTCACGAGTGGCAGGAGGAAGAAGAACTGAGCGGAAAAAAGACTCAAAGGGAAAAAGTCCATAAGAACCACTGAGAGGAACCAAGACTCAAAAGAAAAACCTCCATAAGAAAATAAGGTAGAACCACTGAAAGGAACCAAGACTCAAAAGGAAAACCTCCATAAGAAAATAAGGTAGAACCACTGAAAGGAACCAAGACTCAAAAGGAAAACCTCCATAAGAAAATAAGGTAGAACCACTGAAAGGAACCAAGACTCAAAAGGAAAACCTCCATAAGAAAATAAGGTAGAACCACTGAGAGGAACCAGGACTCAAAAGGAAAACCTCCATAAGAAAATAAGGTAGAACCACTGAAAGGAACCAAGACTCAAAAGGAAAACCTCCATAAGAAAATAAGGTAGAACCACTGAGAGGAACCAAGACTCAAAAGGAAAACCTCCATAAGAAAATAAGGTAGAACCACTGAGAGGAACCAAGACTCAAAAGGAAAACCTCCATAAGAAAATAAGGTAGAACCACTGAAAGGAACCAAGACTCAAAAGGAAAACCTCCATAAGAAAATAAGGTAGAACCACTGAGAGGAACCAAGACTCAAAAGGAAAACCTCTATAAGAACTTTATGAAGAACCACTGAGAGGAACCAAGACTCAAAAGGAAAACGTCTATAAGAAAATAAGTAGACCCTAGGAACCGACTTAAAGATGAAGACCCGAGAGACCAAGACCCAAAAGGAAAACCTCTATAAGAACTTGATGAAGAACCACTGAGAGGAACCAAGACTCAAAAGGAAAACGTCTATAAGAAAATAAGTTAGAACCACTGAAAGGAACCAAGACTCAAAAGAAAAACCTCCATAAGAAAATAAGGTAGAAACACTGAGAGGAACCAGGGAGGTTCCACCATTATCTGGGCCGGTCTGAATAGTACAATTAGTAGAACAAGTTCACAAAGAAGACTGAAGAAAGGCATTTGGGGTTCTACAGAGAAAAACAGATGAACAGTGATGTTAAAACTTTGTGAGAAAACCATCCTAAAAATCTGCTGTCTTTTTAAAAAGTCGCACATGATGTAGTTATATATATTTATATATACAGCGCGCGTGCCTGTATCTCTGTATACGTGTTGGGTCAGGAGTCGATCGCATTGCAACCTAGCATGAATGAGTGAGTGAGGGGAAAGAGGGCAAAACGGAGGGGGCGGGACAGGTGGGAGGAGCAAGTGCACGAGGGAGGAGGAGGAGGAGGGCGGCACGAGCGCTACAGCTCCCTCCAGTCTCGCTCGCGCGTCTTTTGTCTCCTCACTCGCTTTTGTTTAGCCATGCCTAGCCTGCTGCTCCTAGCAGGGATCATGGAGAAGAACGGGGGCTACGGCGGGGACCTGGCCGCCTCGGGCTTCGGCGCCGAGGGCCTCCTCGCGCCGCCGCCGGACGACGACGAGGACGAGTCGCGGGCGCTCCGCGTGGCTCTCGGCCAGCTCTCCCTGCTGGGGCTCGGGGAAGGCGAGGACGGGGCGGTTCAGGAGCGAAGCAGCGGTGGTGGTGGTGGCGGGAGTAGCAACAACAACGGGGGAAGCACGCATCAGCCCGGGCACGGCAGCAACGGAGGCGCCGGAGGAGGAGGAGGTGGAGGAGACGCGGGCATCCTGCAGAGCAAGAGCAAGTTGTGTGCGCTGTACGACGGCTCGGCCAGCGAGACGAAGGCGCGGGGCTGCAACATCACCGAGTGCGTTCCTGTGCCAAGCTCCGAGCATGTGGCTGAGATAGTGGGCAGGCAAGGTAAGAAAGAGACAGAGAGACCTTGTTTCAAAAAAAACTCGACCAAAAAAAGCTGCAGCTTGGTTTCACTCACGCTGGAAAGGGAGTGGTGCTGCTGCATGTTTTTGTTATTCAGACGAGACGCTGCTGCTGCCACGCTGTAGAGGCATTCGGCAGAATAAAACGATGTAACACGCGTAACTCAACGTACCCACGTCCAAAAACAAACGCATGGGTTAGAGAGTGACTGGTTTTAGGGTGAAGAGCAAAAAACCAGAAGTTAAAAGTGGATCCAGCGCTCGGTTTTATTTGAAATGCATCGCTGTGGCAGCGTGCACACACTTTGAGGCGCTGGAAGCGCGCGCTTCCTTTGTCGTCTGAGCGCGAGGGAGTGTTTTGAAAAAAAAAAAAGCGTTAACCGTTAGCCTGAGAGAGTCGGGGCGCTGTGGTGGCTAACTTTGTGGTTTATGAGTGGCGTATTTGTGACTTCTGTACATTTTTACTCGTCGTAGTGGGTTATAGATGACATTTGAACCGGACCACGTATTGCCACGCTTGTTTTCTTCAAGTTTTCTCCACAGTTCCTTTGTGACAAAAAACACGGAGTGACGTTACGTTAGTTGTTGGCGTAACGTTAGCTTGTTGACTCGGTTGGACAAGAGTGAGGTCAAATGTGGGCTCGTTGAAGTTTGTGTCCTGCTCGGGTTGTGTCTGGGTTACTTTTTAAGCTCGTCTCAAAGACTCGGTCGAGGGCATGTTCGGCTAAGGTGTCAAACAAAGACGTGGAAGTGGCAGGTGGACGTTGGTGACCGTTGGAGTTCTCCACATGAAGATGATCTCAACGTGACTCAGCTGGATGCTGAACTAATGTTTTTTTCTGTTTTAAAAGGGAAAAAAAAGTCACTGCAGACCGTTGAAAATATGACCCTGCTGCTCAATGACGTTATGGCCTATTGTTGTGCAGCACATGCAAGTTTAAGGTGAAACACTGCTGTTGGCTCGCCGAGGGTTTATTGTCTTGACTTTTGTCCTGCTTTGAGGGGTCAGCCTGCTTGCTTCGTATGAAATAGCTGCCCTTATTAATCCATGGCCGAGAATGCCCAGTAGTGCCAGGCTTTGTTCAGCCTTTGGAGATGATCGGATAAGAAGGGCTGCTGGAGCTCAGAGTCATTGCTCACTGTAGGAGAGTCACGCCCAGGCAACCAATACGGCATCCTCAGAGCTTTCCTCCATCCACATGCTCGCCAGCACGGGGTCATGGGAGGATCCGAAGAGCAACAACAAGAGCGTGGTCCTTTTCACTGAAGGCTTATACCAACAACATGTAGAACTGAGCACGCCCCCTGAAAGGCAGGAGCGTAACCCCTGTTCCTTTAGTGTGGATGTGGGCTCATTACGTTTTGCTAAAGTGCCTACATTTTCCTATGCGGCTCTGGATGGTTACTGTGAAGTGTGCCCTTGAATTTTAATGGGGGGAAGGAGGTGGGCTGTGGGGCTAGGACCAGGCGGTCCAAGTGCAGCAGAGGGCTTTGCCTTGACTGAAAAGTGCTGATTAGGAGGATTTGGGAAGAGCTTCTTTTGATTTGGTGCTTTATTAGTCACTTCAAGTGCAGCTACATGCTTTGCTTTGGAAGACTCAGAATTTGTCTGTGCTGACAAAGAAATGAGGGAACAGTTTATTGTATTCATATTGTTGATTTATAGACTTCGGTTGAAAAGAGGTGGGTATAAAATTTGGATGCTGCGAGCTGGTTTTCATTTGGTGTGAATGCTGCAATTTTCTTTTTTTTTAAGGGACTGATTTGGGCGTTTCTGCTTTTATTAATTGTGTTTATTAATTACGGTTCTTTCATTTGCATCACCACATACATCATGTCTAAAATTGGCTTACTTAACTTTTCACTGTCCACGTAAGACATTTGGAGACAGTTGAATACAGCATCAAACATAGCCAAAACAAAAACAGGCACAACACAGTCAATATGGGTCTCACTCATGCCACATTGTCCTCCTTCAGTCATTAGGCCGTGGTGTCTGCTCGAATGCGTGCAGGGACCATGCTCAATCTGAATGGTCGTAGTAAGCGTGCTTCATTCACCTGCAGTGGCTGCCAAGCCTGTTAGGGGGGCTGTAGTCCTGCAGTGTGCGGAGCTATTCAACAGTGGGAGAGAAGCTCGCGCTGCTTGTTGGCGCTGCTAGATGCTCCATCTAGGTTTTTTTTGTTGTTGTCTTTTTGTAGCTGCTGCTGTACACAGCGAGCCATGATCTGGCTACGAAACAGGCCCCTCGGCCACGGCCTTCACCAAATCCCACCCAGCAGCCAGGCGTTTAAGTAGCTTCACAGCAACAGACATCGCTATGCTGCATGTGAACCACCCAAACAAATTCTCCTACACAATACTGCGGCTTTCCATTTTAGATCTCTGTACACCAAAGAATGTAATATTTCAGCTAGGCTTTAATTATTAATTTCTCCTCGAGAGCGCCTCGTCCAATAATCTGTTTTTACACGCATCTCGCATTTTCCTTTCTTTGTCCTCAGGTGACCTTTTCTCCTATTAACATAATCAATAGCATGTAAAGAGTGGCACCCCAGCATGCACCTATGCATATCAATACTGGTGAATATTTCTCTATGATAAGCAAACATGTACTGCTTGTACAGTCATAACTGTATATTAACGGCAAATAAATCAGTTACAAGCTTATATCAGAATTAATTATTTAATAAATAATTATTTGTGACATGTTAAACATTTCATTACTATGAAATGAATTAGATTCAGACAGTATCTAAGAATTTCAAGGATCTGTTATTTGTTTTTCACAGCAGGAGAAAAAGATTCTGAATGACTTATTAATACTTTATAACAAAGGCCTTTTAATATGTCCACTGGGAATTTCACACAATAATATTGCTAGAGCCTGGTAAAAACAGTATACAGAGGAGGAAAGACATATTTATGCAGAATCTGTTAGCTTGGAGATGCTCAATTTTGCTCAGTTTGAGCACATTTGCTTGGTTTAACATCAAGCATAATTTTCTCTAATATTATGTCAGAGGGCAGCTAACAGATCTGTTTCCGGGTGTTTTAGAGTGACCTTTTTAAAACTAGAAAAAGATATTAATTTTATGCAGTAAAGAAAAGCGGTACACTGTTCTTTTAGAATATCATTACCATTAAATGTGTGAAATCTTTTTACACTAAGGGTGTAACGATCAGTGTCAAAGGGCCTGTATTTTTTTGTATTGTGTTTTGTGAAATAAGATTGCAATATGAGAACAGATCCTCTCATAGCACCTTACATTATTAAGTAATTTTGTATTTTAAGTCGTTTTAAGGAAATAGCTGACTTTCTAAAGATTTTGAAGATTTTTTTCAAACTTAGCTTCATTAGCATATCATATCAAGTGTCGTTTTGAGAATATGACACAATCATCAAAGTGCACTTCATAACATTATAATAGCATATCATTACAGAGCTAATTTATACTGATTTTGCCTTGCATCAATCCTATGACACAGACATTTTTATTCTGAAATGAACCTTATTACCTAACTTATTAATAGCACCTTGTTAATTACACCTGACCATAAAAGCATAACCAGTGCATAGGGACAAGGAAATTTCTGATATAAGGGAATTAATATCTCAGTCAGTGTGTTTAACAGGGACACTGGGGCGTGATATTATTCTTATTGACATTGTCATAACAACACCTAGTATCTCTAAAATGGAAGCTTTATAAGAGATGTAAAAATCTGTTCTGACTTCAGTATAAATTAATGTAACGAGGGAATATTCCATTTCATTTTGGGTTGTTTCTCTTCAACCAGTCACCATGAAATGTTCACTCTATGTAAAGAGCAGTTGGTGTTTTTAAATGGTGGAAAAATGAATAAGTAAATAAACCAACAACAAAACCAACTAAAAAAACAAATTTTGCTAGGGCAGAGATGTATATATCTTCTTAATTGGGTCGTATTTTCGTAAACAATAAAAATAAACATAAGATCAAGTTCTCCAACTTTCAGTCAGTTTTAGTCTGATCATTTTGCACAGTGCACAATACAAAATTCAATTCATGATGTGGCCCTACAGTAGACAGTAATATATTTCATTAAGTGATTATCAACAGTCATATTCAAAAGTAAATAAAAAGTTCACACAAAGAAAAGCAAAAGTATACCCGGTCTGGCCATGTCATTGTGACTTATTCTGCCCCCTCTCCACTCCACAGGTTGCAAAATCAAAGCCTTGCGAGCGAAGACCAATACTTATATCAAAACCCCAGTCCGGGGTGAAGAGCCGGTCTTTCTCATTACTGGCCGTAAGGAAGATGTGGCGCTAGCTAGGCGTGAGATCATCTCTGCAGCAGAGCACTTCTCCATGCTGAGGGCCTCCAGGAACAAGCTGGGCGTCTCCTTCAACGGCTCACCTCCAACTCCACTGCCTGGCCAGACTACCATCCAGGTGCGGGTGCCCTACCGGGTGGTGGGTCTGGTGGTAGGGCCCAAGGGCTCCACCATCAAGCGCATCCAGCAGCAAACGTGCACCTATATCGTTACGCCCAGCCGTGACAGTGACCCTGTCTTCGAGATCACCGGTTCTCCAGGGAACGCGGAGCGGGCACGTGAGGAAATCGAGGCGCACATCGCCTTCCGCACCGGCGGTCTGCATGACCACAACAATGAGAACGACTGCCTGGGCCCTGAGAGTAGCAACGGGGGTCTGGAGAGCCGCCTGCAGCAGGTGTGGGGGCTGCAGGGGGGCCAGCGCAAGCCGCTCACCAGCAGCTACCGCCAGAATTTCTCCGACGCCATAGTTGGAAGTAGTGGGGGCGGAGGAGGAGGCAGCGGGATTTACAGTAAGGGTGATTTCCCCACTCCCAACAACGGTGACAAGCCATGCTCTTATTTCGGTTCAGAAGGCTCCCAGAGCTGGGGGGACCCCGACTATCCCAAACAGGTGGCCTACTACGTCCAGCAGCGCTCCAAAAGCTTCGGAGGCCTGCCCCTCCCTCTGACCAGACTGTCGCCCGGCCTTCCGGAGCCCTGTGGAACCGGTGGCAGCTCCACTACTGTCGGGTCTCCCCACGCCCAGGCACGCCGCGCCCACAGCGAGCCCACTTCCGCCTCGACACCATTTGCTGGCCGCCTCCCAGTGCCGGACTCACCACCTGCTGTGGCCCGGGACTGCATGACCTGCTTTGAGAGCAAGGTGACAGCCGCTCTGGTCCCCTGTGGCCACAACCTCTTCTGCATGGAGTGTGCCATTCGAATCTGTGAGCTAAATCATCCTGAATGCCCTGTTTGCCACACCCTCGTCACACAGGCTATCCGAATCTTCTCTTAAAAGCTCTTTTTTTTCCTTTTTCTACTTTTTTTCTGGTGCGTTCATTTTGACTGTCTAATTTTTTTATTGTTTTAGTGTTTGTTTGTCAGTATTTGCCCCATGTACACTTTGCTTTTTTCAGAAAACAAGAAAAAAAAACAAGCAGATATTTTAGAAGACACTGCTTGCTTTACTAAAAAGAGTAAGAAGTATTTTCAGATTTTTCTTTTATATATACACATATATACATATATATTTTATAAAGGTTTTGTTAAAATGGGGAAAAAGTTAGTGCTTAGTGTTTTTTGTTAATTTAATTTTATTTTATACTGCTGCTGTTTTTCCACATGAATCGCAGTGTGGATAGAAACAGAAAAAAATGTGAACGTTTTACACTTTTGCTTTACTTTGTAAGTTTATTACCATTATTATTATTATAAATATTATTATTAATTTGTAAGATTGGAAAGAATATAGTTTTACATCCCAGCATTTTCTGCAAAGGGGCAAATATGCTTTTTAAAGGTTAAATATTGACTGAATCTTAAATCTATCGTTGCACCTTAAAATGGATAGCTTGATTGTCAACTATTACAGATGGCACTGAAAAAGAACGCTTTTATGTATTTCTTGTATCTCTGCCTCTGTAAAGGTGTGGACTTAAATTTGGAACGAATTCTAAATGCACATAATCCTGAATCAAGGCACAGGACACTGTGCACTCAAATATCACATGTAAATGGCAAAGTTGCATAACCTATTCATATACCGATTGTCACAAAATTGTACAACCTATTCATATGCCAATTGTCAATCAGTTACAAAAACTGATATTTTTTTTTTTTGTTGTTGTAGTTTTTACACCACACAGGGTGTATTTCAAAAAACAAACAGCATGGTTTGCTGATTGTTGGGCAGTAAACTGATTTGTCAGCTCAACGTTTTGGAACTCGTCCAGTGGGATATTATCAAAGAGGTGTCTCCCCAAGTTACTTTCATTCACATTTTTCTCTTCAACCTGGTTACCACTCTAGATATAGTTACATCAATATTTTTAACTTCTCAGTGAGCAGTTTTCTATCATGGACGCATGAAATGTAGATTACAAATGGCACTGGGTTAACGGTTTGAAGCAAAATGAAGAGAGGGTGGTCGGTAATCTGAGCTTGAATAGACTGTGCACAAAAGAGAGAGAGAGAAGGAGAAAGACTCTGAGCTATAGTACAATATGCAGCAGCTCCCTGGTCCCCACGGCTCTGCATTTGAGTTGCAAAGTGCCTGCTGCCTGTCCGTCTTTATTGAAGCTGTTCAGGAGCAGGTGTTTCATATTGTGCTCCAAATCTGACCCAAGTTCTTTTCTTTGCGAGTGCCCTTATCCCACTCACTGCTCAACCGTCGTCCTGCCTGGGCTATAATGACTACAACTGCTCGACTACACAGGCCCTTCCCAGAGAGCATATTGTTTTGTCGCAGTGGTGGGATGGTCCCCGGAGCGCTCCGACATTGGCCTTTCCCAATAAGGAGCTGATAATTAGTCATGTGACATAGACCAGGTGCAAGTAACTGGCTAGTGGGCAGTTGAGGAGGGGGGTGGTTGTAGTAAATGTACAAGGTCCGGTCCACAGTGGACACTATGCGGCTCCATGGTGCTCTAAACACCCACACGCACCCCTCCCCGCTCCCTCACAGAAGAGCTTGACTAGGTGCAGCTGGGGGCCCCTCCCTTCATCCTTCCATCTCACTGTCTCCCTCCTCCCTCCTCTCCCTGCTCTCCTGCTCCTCTGAGCCTTAGTATTCCCAATGGGGAAAGGGGCCTCCTTTGTCCTGACAAAGAAAAAAAAAATCCAAGTGCAGATTTTATTTCAAAGAGAGAGCCCAAATCGAGGCAGGGGAACACTTTCTAGGCAAACAGATCGGACAGCAAACAGTAATTAGTTTGGTTTTAAGTGTCTCAGACTTCAATATTTAAAGTTTGTTCGGATGTTTAGATGTTCGTCAGCTCAAAAAAAGAAGCAAATTGTATGTCACGGTTGGCAGTCTTTCTTGTTAATGCGCTCTCTTTCACAGTCCCTCAGAAATTTTAGTGCCTCCCCCCAAAAAATCTGCGGATCCAATGTGCGTGAGAGGAGGAACTGCTGGTCGATCAAAGTTTCCATGGAGTTTCTGACATATGCGGGACATCCTGCCGCTACCCCCCCCGAGACAGCCCCGCCGGCCAATGGCTACGGGCAGCCAATGGGAGAACGACCTTGAACTCCGAAATGAAATCAGACAATTGTAATTGACACGAGAGTGGGGGGAAACGCCCCATTTAGCCGCTGCTCAAGCTGAATCAAATTACACACCCACCGCCTACCGCATATCAAGCTAGGGGATTTTGGCAGAGGAGATTAGAGCATTTGGAGGGTAGGGAAAGAGTCTCTCTTTTCGGTCTTTTTCGCCTCAAGAGGGCTGCTGCGAAAGAAAGAAAGGAGCCACTGAAAAATGTAGTCCATCTGAAATGGGTCAGTTTTGTCCCTTTGGAGACTCCATGCGCCACCGCCACATGTGTGGGACTGGTCGAATGTTAGGGTAAGCTCACGATTGTACTACCAAACAATAGAGCTGACAGTACATTAGATATCCCTCGCTGATATTCTTTATACTCAGTAAGGAATTCAGATGGGCAGGGTTTTTTTATTGTTTTGGCAGAGGGGAGCGCAGTAGTTTGCAGCAACTACCACAGTATAATCTGGCAGTACTTCATTTCTCCATACCTTTTTACTTCTTTTTTTTGGTTGCTGGCACAATACTAGAATTTTCAAAGCATTTTCTTTTATCATAGGACTACAAATTCAAAAGGTAAACGTTTAACGACTACAGTACTACACATGGGCTTAGACATTCTAATTCGAAAGGAAGTGAGATTTTACTGTACAAAGAATTTAAGCTATTAAAAGCACTTATGCTTCAACTACACTTATGTCTGGATAAGAGTGAAGCACCTTATTTCAAGACAAACAGCGGATGTCTGAAACCAAACGTTACTATTCATAGTAGTTGAAGAACATCTTAGAGAGCTTACTGTATATTGTCATTTTTATTATTATTATTATTATCATTATTATTGCTGTTTACAACTGGGTTACATTCAAGTTTTTTGTTGTTTTTTTTCACTTTGCACTGGTACAAAATTAAGAGTGATTAAATGAATCTCTCTTCGAACAATATTTGGGTGACGCAGGCTCATGCCAAGGTTTTTGTGTTTCATTTGCGAACAGTAGCTTCACTTCTCTTCAAACAAAAAGCAATGCATGCTTTCTTTACTTTTTAATGACTTCATCAATCTCATTCACTGATCAAGGAAAAACAATGGCCTATTTGGAGGAATGTATGTATGCACATCTTGTGTATTTTTTGAAGCCAAACAGCTAAAACAATTATGCAAATCACATTCACTGGCTTGGATTTTAGAAAACTGTGCCCATGTAGGTAGGTTTCATGAGCGTATTCCTGGATCTCTACATTCATCAAATCAGGGAATACACAAAGCAATAACGAAGTATATTTTAACATAAATACAACAACCTAGAACAATGGGTAGCTCTCAAAGTTGGAAATAACTTCAAAGTTTTAAGCATCTCATTCAGGCATCTTGTAGTCAGGTTTTTTATGATTCGTTGCACAAACGTATGTGCATTGTGACGGTATTTAATCCTAGCATTGGTAAAATGATGAAAACCCTTAAGATGGAGCCCCCTTAAAGTGAACGCTCATGCATTACATTTTTCTGGAGCAGAATAATTGTAGTGACATTTCCTGTTTGACAAATTTGAAATGCATAATTCTAGAACCCATCAGCATTTACAAGTTGGCGTTTCTCTGACCCACAATACGATAAATACTGTATGATTTCAGTATAAGACTAGAGACCGAATTACTTGTAAAAGGGTTGTGGCAAGACGAGTCGTACTTCAACACAATAAGGGTTGGGTGGGATGGATTTCAGCCACTACAACAAAGACATTTTCCCAGCAAACATGAACAGAGCCCGTCATAGTAAGGAGTCAGGTACATTTTTTTTTCACAGAGTAGCATTTATTTGCTATTAAATTTAAAAGAATTGTATTTACTCACATATACGGAGATAAATATAAAATGTGACTACCATAGGCATATCATGAGAATATATTTCAGTATTTAAGCCAATTATGAAAATATTTTAAAAGTTACAAATGCTTCTGTTTGACAGTTTGTTTATATTATAGTGTAACTAGTTGTTATCCCAATAGAAAGTTTAAGTTAAAGTGTTTATGGTAGCCAAAGAATTGAGAAGAGATTCAAAAAAAGTTACGGTTAAAATATTACTATAGCATTAAATGGGCTGAAAGCCTTCTAAATTATAAGGGGACTGAAACCAGGGCAGTTCAGTTCAAACAGCGAAAGTCATGTTGTTGGATCAGAAAACACAAGTCCGTTCAAACGTAGAGAAAAAAGATAATGTGAACCAAACCTGTATGTACATGTAAAACACACCCACAAAGAGACCAATATACAGAAAAGTCGCAATAACCGTTATTCAGGATCAGAATGTCTTTAGTCTTTTAACAACAATGCAACCAGCAAATTCCATGTAATATAAAACATACTTTGATATACCTAATGAAATTTGGTATATACAGTTTGTTCTTAAGACTATATCCAATATGACAGTGTTGTAAATGCAGAGAGGAAGGAGACGTTGCATTATGAGAGTACGGGGCTGGAAAATGGTCCAATTCGGAATTACAGAGGAAGAAGGATTTTAATTTTAATGACGTGTTGTATTTGTGAAGGTAAATATTAAGAAACACTGTGGTTTATAGTAAGTACATAGTGTTATATGGTTTGATAATCCCTTAGATACATATTGGTTATGCATGCTGATTAATTACAGAGCATTTACCTTTTATCAGTTGAGATGTGGATATAAAAGAGCTACATGTAATACAGAGAGCTTTAGTAATTACATCATCTAGTGTTTGAGATAATAATGTATTAAGTTATTTTTTTCCCCTAAACTTTATCTTCTTCACCAACCTATAGTATCTACTGCACAATTACCTAAAATTAAACAAGGACTGTCACAATATTTCCATAAGGATACAATCTAACTTTTTGTATAGTGTTGTTAATATTTACTATCTATTGATTTGTAATAATAGCTCAAGAAACCCCTTTTACATAATCCAGTTAGCAGGGCTCTAGGCGTTTATCTATATACACACACACACAGCATTCGTATCGTAAAGTGAACAGACAAGATGTACATAATGCACTAAAGCAATTCTAATGCCTTTTCAATGTAGATGGCCAATGCATTTTGAATGTAAAACAAAGACCACCCAATCAGTGTGTAATTTTGCCTTTTGACCATCGATCAAAGACAAAAGCTTTATGTTTTTGATGCCATGGTTTAGAGAAACTAGTTGCTCCACCATTTCTGTTTAGATTCTCCCTATAGAAAGCAACTAAGGGAAAAAAAAAGTCTTATAACATTTTCGTAAGATTCTATTTTGCTAACATGGGTTATTATTTCATAGAAAGAGGGAGAGGTCAGTATCTGGATGTTATTTATGAATATCTTAAATGAAGCAAACATATTTATAAGTAACTTCAAGACATTTTGTTTTTTTTATTACAAAGTAAAAGTTAATATATTTCTAAAACACATGAAGTTGATTTCTACTAAAATGATTAAAACTATAGAATTTTTATTTATAAAAGTTAGATAAATCCTTCATACTTCTGACAGTGTAAAATGAGGTGGGTGCTGTGGGCTTTCAAAGGCTTATATTTTAACTTCAGATATGCACGGTTTTAGAGAAAGACGTGCATTAATAATGGAATAATTTCAGGAAAAAAAAAATTAATATTTTTTAGAATTAGGAGGTATTTTAGTCACTTCAAGTTTGTGCCTCAAAAATCACATTTTTGCATTGCGTCAACACTTGGCGAAAGTGTTGTTTGCCTGTCCTTTAACTAACCCCATACTGCTGACTGAATACAGAATCCTTTTCTCCCTCATTTCCTGTATAAAAAAACACAAAAAAAGAAAGAAAAAAAATGAGTTTTTTAATTTTATTTCTCGTACTTTTAACACTTCATCTGTTTTGACTGCAGTGAAGTGAATGGGCACCACAGAGGTGTCTGGAATGGAGAAGCAGGCGGATAATTGTGCATATACACATTTTCGTTCACGCATACATCTACTACATACATGTAGAAGTTCAGAGAGTGTGTTCAAAATCCTGACGACGTAAAAAGTTCTTTTGACTGTCCCTGCGATTTCTGCTATTAAATATATGAAGCGAATGTAGTAGATCTATGCTGGTTTCAGCACACAAAAAAAACACTCAAAGTAAAATACTTGGTAATACAGTACAATGCATGTATCTCGTATCATCACCAGGCCTGGAAAACAGTACTAAAAATGTTGTGTTGCGTACAAGTGGGGGCTTTTGTACACACTACACTGAAGGGCTTACTTCTTTTTCGCTTGTAGATTTTCACCATCACTTCGAACTCTAGCGTAACATAACAGTGGCTTGTTAATTTCAAGCTTGCATTGAAAAAGGACAGTCTCAGCTCTAACTTTATGGTGAAAGTGTATCTCAACTGTTTTGACTTCGTAATGGCAAAGGTAACTGTGTAGCGTGGTATGTTTTTCAGTATGATAGGGACACAAAAGGGGGCTATGGGGTGATCATTTTCTTGGTCTTGCTTTGGATGGATAACTCCGGTCCAACAGTCTGTCTTTGGTAGCTTTCAAAATCTTCCAACACAGTAGAAGTGTTTCATATAACTCATGTAGTGGTCTTAGTGCATTAGTTTGGACCAGCATCTCCTGCTGTTAGTGTTTGGTTCCTCGTTGGTGAGTGAGAAGGGTTTGCCATACCATAGTCTTGGCTAGCCAATACTTTCAGAAGTCTTCTTTTAACTTCATTCAGTGTCGTGCCCACACGAGGCATACGAATTGCAGGTTGATTTCTTAGCACATGTTCTTTGTGAGTTTTCATTTTTTGATATTTGATCAATGTATCTATGCCATACTAGTTTTGATTTTGGTTATTTTCAAAAATGTATTGTAAATGTTTCTAATAAAACAAATTTAATAATCTCCAAATTTGTTCAAAGTCTGTGATCTAAGAGCACCACTAAATGAGGTGAGCAGGTAAAAGCAAATACATTTTATTCATATTATATTCAAATATACAGACCATAAAAAACCTTCTTCAATCCCAAACAGTGTGAATGCCACTAATGCTAAAGGAACAGCAAGTCACATTTTTCTCATTTCAGTTGTAGGTTACATTACAATGCAGGGTCACATGGTTGGCCACATGTCTAGTTATGAGACCGGAGCAAGATGTAAGGTGCATATTTCTGCTGAATACCACTGGAAAGAATGGCATTTTCCCCAGCTTATAGACTGCTGTGAGCCTTAATTTCACATCACCATGTCTTAGTAGTACTTAGTTTTCCAGTAGTGTTTTGGAAAAAAAAAGTTTATTGCCCTTTTAACTGAAACTATTATTGGGTGAAAGGTACTGTTGAATCCTACTTAAGAATATAGACTCAAACAAGAATTTCTAAATGCAGATGAAGTATAACCACACCTAGTCTTAGATGCAGAAATTAGCACAAACAGTACTGTAACAGGACAAACATCAGCCTCAGTTTAGTTGTTTTGACTACAAATCTTAATTTAAACAAGAAATTCATTAGTCATTGTGCATGATGGGGATACGCAGGTGGCTCTAAAACCAGCAATAATCAATGGTCACTGCTAAAGAACTCAAGTTTCTGCTGTCACGTAATCTTATGTGTAAATTATAAAGCTGAGTCTGCTTCTTTGTCTTTAAAGAAAACTTCAGCATTTTCAACCTAATCTCTCCGTCGCATTTGTAGCATTAGGTCAGTTACCACAGAGAAAATAAGTTCAACACGTGTCCCTGTGATTAGACAAAAGAATAGAAAATCCATTCACTCAAAAAACACTTATAATAAGCTGTTTCAGCACCTGCTCACTGGCTTCTTTTGTAACTGTTTCAAGTCAACAGGTTTTCTGTTCTTTTTTACATACAAGGAAATGCATTCAAATTATTAGGTAATATAATAATTATGTCACAAAAGATCTTATACATGGAGCAGACAGACATCAGGTTGAGAAATGCTAAGTATTTCATTAGAATGCTACAGTAGGTCCAGTACAGTTAAATGATTTTTACCACATTGCCTTTTCTTTTTCCTAGCCTGACCTACAAATTCAGCCCTGCATCCCTTTCACCACACCACCTAGCTATGGCCACAACTACAACTAGAGAGAGAAGGAGGGAGGGCAGGAGAAAGAGAGAAAGATGGGACACAATTAACAGAGATCCCGGAGGGTATGGCTCTCTTCAGGTTACATATGGCAGATAATAGTGGTGGGCAATGAGGATTTCACTTACAGTAAGACAAGCCCCTTCCAGTACATCAGAAACTCCTCAGCGAGCAGCTCCGAGCGCCACTGTTGCTCAATCCTGCAACATAATACATCCACCTAGAGGATGAGCCTCCAGCCTGAGAGGGGCTGCTTCCTGCCTTGGTCTAATCCCTGCCTCTCTGTTTTCTAGCTGCAGAAAAAAAATTGTTACATCACTATTACCAAAAGGACAACACCCAGAAAAGTCACCTATGCAACAACCACTGATCTCTATTTCCTCAACTAAACTGTTCAAAAAGCTAGATGTGCTCATGTTTTCAGTTTGACCACAGAAACTAGGCATGCATTCGAAGCTCAGCAAAAACAAAAACAGACATACAAGCAGAAAAGCATTGATCACTGCTGCTTTTAAAATGGTCAAATAACTTAATGACATAGACACTTTCAGGTCCTCATCAGAGTAAGCTGCTTTACTTTTTACTCTGGGTGCCCCAAATACAGAATGCCACTTAAAGGAGGTGAATAGATTCACTCTCAATTAATGACATGCAATTAATGAACCCATAAATAAAAAACTTAATATAGGCAGAATAACAAATTAACACCACCATGAGAAAACGTCTACAGCCTCTCAGGATTTAATCTCAACAATATAATCTCAGAGGTTGCTTCACTCCTTGAGCCAGCCTTATGAATAGACAGTATGAGACATACTGAGATGAGCTTGTTTCCCTTGTTCAAGGTTGCATTAGAAGTTAGACTCAACGTGTAGTGGTTAATAAAAGCACAGAATTTCACTGTAGCACCCTCCTTCCATCTAAAAATATTTAACACACGATTCTTGACTACCGCTGTACATTCTACACGCTATTCAGTGATAAAGTTCTTCCAGCATTCTGTTCGTAACTAGTTTGTCTTCTTTCGACAAAAGTGCATAAAAATGTGGTCTCCCAGTACCATCTCTAACTAGTGAGAAAATATAAAGAACAATTTATCAGTCCAGTCCAGTCTATGTAAATAAAAAATGATCCTCTCTCTTCTTTTTCTATATTAAAGCTTATGAATCAGGGCATAACCGATAAAGCGTGTTACATTTGATAACGACAGGCTGCATAGTAAGTGACACCACAAACTAAGCAGAGCTGGACATGCACAAGGCCTGTCTCGCAGCCCATGGCCAGCCTGATGTCGGTTTTTCCCATGATCCTGTAGTGCTGTGGTGGCTGCTCAGTTGTTCTGGCAGCAGACGGTTTGCTTGGCAGAGCTCTGAGTGGGCTGCACTGTGATGGGCACTACGTTGGAGTTGGGCGAGAAATCGGCATCACCACGCCCTGAGATTTGCCTCTGAGAAACAATGCGATAGATTGCTGATTTAGAGAGAGAGGGAGAGGGGGAGAGAGAGAGCAAGGGAGAGGGGGAGAGAGAGCACTTTCAGCCAGTGATTGCAAAATCAACAGTGCTTAACTTCGCAAAATGGAAATGAACTCCATTACATTCAGACAGAATAGGTTAAAAATCCAAGGTGTGATAATGTACACCTAAAATAAGAAACACTTTCTTAGAAAGCACCTTTCGAAATTTATAGATACTTTTTGTGGAGCAAATACTGATAATTTGACCTGAAAACGTGTTAAGTCACTAGGGATTTACACAAGTCAGTGTCTTAGAATTTGCTGCCACCTAATGGCAGATGATAAAAACAATATTAGGCGTTTCTGCACCGGGTAGTGCGTTAATCTTTACTTATTCGAATGTGTATGCCGGTTTGACATGAATACAAGATATAACATAAAAACAACTATTGACAAAATAAGTAAATTAGAAGGCAAAAACTGTATTGATTTAATCTATTTTATTCATGTGAAAATGATCCAGGCCTTAAAATCAAGCAAATCCAGTGCATTACTTTATTATTCAATGTGGTTATTTATGAGTGGACTGACCTGTGAGAATGGTCTGGAAGGCAAGCTCTACATTAGAGGAGTCCAAAGCGGAAGTCTCGAGAAAAGAAAGCCCATGCTTCTCTGAAAAACACACACAATTCAGAAATTGGATGAAGCTTAGCATTTCAGAAAAGCTGGTATGAGCCACTATATTTCAATTACCCTCCTGTAACTCTTATTGTGTAAGATTATTCCATTACACTATCATTAGAGTGTACACTACACCACTGTACTATGTAGTCATTTATTCTGAGTTTCCGCAGTAATTATGTATCTCTTGCTGATACAAACAAGAATAAATAAACGAATTATCTACAAATATTGATTTTTTGGACACATTTCAGTTCATGATAATACTAATGAAATAGTACATGAAATAAGAAGTAAGGGTCAATGGGCATGTAATTTAATTTTCTAGTAATTTTAAAGCAATAACAGCTAAATGTGAAGCTCTTAAGTATTAAGGCACATTTTTAAAGGGGTAAATCCTAGTAGTTTCTTAGTGACTAACCAATGACAACAGTCACTAGGAATTTTCTACTGAACTGTCTAAAATTCTTTCAGTTTTTAAAGAGTTCAATAAGTTCAGTGCTTAGAAAACACACCCTCGCTTGTCCAGTATTCATCCTTAGAAAGGCAAATAAAAACCATTTAAAATACCAGCTGATGGCATAAATCACTTCCTGATTTCACCAGCTTAAAGTTTCAGCACTAACGTTTCAGTTCATAAACTTCACCAGTGAGTGAAACATCAGGTGTCACTGGAATATAAAGACTACTATGTGTGAACTGTGAGGATCTTAAATGAAACACACCAATAAATGCCACTGTAAATAAAGCATGAGTGAAAGGAATTTATGCTAAACTGACCTGCGAATGCCTTGGCCTCATCCGTAGGCACAGCCCTCAGGTGCCGCAGGTCACTTTTATTGCCCACCAGCATGATGACAATGTTGCTGTCGGCATGGTCCTGCAGCTCCTTTAGCCAACGCTCCGCGTTTTCATACGTCAAATGCTTCGCGATGTCATACACCAGGAGAGCACCCACAGCACCACGGTAGTATCTGCAAACAAACCCCGGCAAATAGGATTAATAAAAGTTCAGGCAGAGCTAATAAAAATAAGAATGTCTGAAGAGCAGCGTAACTAGTTGTTAAGGTAATGTCACTGGAATTCCTATAAACACACCAGAGCCACAGGAATTCATACAAACGAAAATGAAAACTATGGTTACCAGTAAGCATGACATTTCAGAATGAACGCTAATCTTGTATCATTAAATTTGATCCCAGATCAGCATTCCTTTTTTCCAGCTTTTCCTTTTAACAGTCCTACAAATTATTTTAGGGATAAAGTCCTGCGGCTGCTCGGAGAACAGATCTGTTTCATTGTCAGTTAAATTCTTATGGGGTTCATTTAAAGCAGTAAATATACATGTAAATTTTCAATTTGCAATTATGAATTTTTCTTCCTCGTGCACCTGGTTATGGGAAAAACCCATGGCCAAAATGTGCTTAAGCTAAGGTCTGAGATGAAAGGTCTATTATAAAATGTGTTTTCAGTTTCAACTCTAAAATCTGATTCACTAAGTCACAAGTACTCAGAACGCACACACATGATCACAAGGCTCCGAATTCAGTATTAATGAACTCTGCATTAATGTGTCAAATTATTAAAATCCACTGTTCTGTTCAGGGAATAATCTTTGACCGTTATGTTACTTGGAAAGCACTGTCTATTGCTAAAGAACTTTGTTGCTTGACAGACTGATTATCATTGAGATTATTAAAATTATTTATTGAACATTGCTATGTTATAAATCATTAGATTTTGTCACTGTTTTATAATTTCACAGTTGCAAATCGTAGATTACTGCTTTAATACTCACGCTGAGGTGATGGCTCGATATCTCTCTTGGCCTGCTGTGTCCCAAATCTGAGCTTTGATGGTCTTGCCCTCCACCAGGATGCTGCGCGTGGCGAACTCCACGCCAATGGTGCTCTTGCTCTCCAGGTTGAACTCGTTGCGCGTGAAACGGGACAGCAGGTTGCTCTTCCCGACACCGGAGTCTCCAATCAGCACCACTGAGGAGGTTTCAAAACGGCAGGCAGTGAGCTTATCATGTCACACAGGAGGCACGATGGGACTGGTAGGTTTTGTTGGCTGGTTTTAAGCCCTTTCTTAAAGAATTGTAAAAGGACTGGTCTAACCACAGAAAAAAAGCAAAGACCTCAATAGCCATTTTCTGCAGCTACTACCAAGAAACACCAGTGAACCTACATGTTTCTTCTTCTTTTAAATGTAATATTGATTGTAAAATAATAGTAAATCTGAAAGAAAAAAAAAAGTTTTCTTTGGGGACTACTTTTAATTACTCTCTGCCATAAATGGATTTTAAAACTAGCTTTTTTGGCCAATACCTTCTAAACAACATCTCAGACATCAAGCCATGTATTAATAACCACTTCATGTTATAACTTTCTGAGAGGGAGGTTTTAGAGGCATTAAACTCCACAGACGTCTGGTTCCTATCACCACCACTGTAAATAACTGCGCTGGTAAGTTTCTCTAGAACTGAGTAATTCACATCAAACCACTCTGAATGACTGTTTACATTTTAACCATTTCATTATGCACAAATAGAAACAACAACAACAACAACAACAACAACAATAATAATAATAATAATAATAATAATAATAATGGAATTCCCCTTTAGTGACCTTGACTGGAAAGTAAATAAACAAAGGCTGGTCTCTGACTTTTGCAAAGTGCAGTAAATGGAGCAATAGAAATGATCCAAAATTTCCAGACATAAAATCTCATTACATTAATGTAATAAGTTACCATTTCAGAGATAGAAGGTTTTGTTACAACAGCAAAAAACACAGACCACTGACAGGGTGATGTAGTTAACCTTCAGCTAAAACGTGCACCTGATGGAAAGTTGGTCAACTGGCTATTCAGCAGGAACTGGCTCTGTGCAGAAGGCCGAGCAGTAACTCATTAGTAATGACTGAGTCATGATCAAACAGTGAGGGGTGCAGCAGCGCTTCAGAGGTGGGGCTCTTTGTTTAAAACACACCAAGGGGAAGATTCAAAGCATGTCGAAATAAAACGCCCCCACAGGGTGGTTCACAAATCCCTGCTTCACCTGGAGCCAGGACAAGCAATAGAATAGAATATATTAAGATAATGTTCACTTTTTTTTTTTTTAAACCTAACCTGAACTCAGCGAGGCATCATCACTAGAGGTCTGAGTTCGTGTCTGTATGGAAAATACATGGTGTAAAAGGAGATTCATGCAGGTCTTTCCGGTTCTACTGCATCTGGGGCCTTTCCGCTTGGAAACAAAGACTGCTAATGTTGGTTTTTCATTCAAAAGACCTCTGGGGTTTTTTTTTTTAAAACTAGTTCTGTAAGCTTTTAGTAAAAAAAACCTGGACAAAAACGTTTCTCAAGAAGTATAAAAAATACTTGACAATAAAGCTCCAGGTCATTTTACAAGGGAGCTGTTGCAGAAACCTCAGCTGCAACATTACAACCTGGCTGTTGTGAAACTACACAATTTGGAAATAAACGGCCGTTTTCTAAGTGTCAGCTTTCATAACTCGTTTCAGTCCTACTGAAGAGTGACATCTCTTTTCCACAGCTATTACATTAGCTAGCTATAATGTCTATTGCTATGTCTTGGTCTTATTACTAGTTAACAGTAACTAGTAAGGATCAGTAATGAAATAACTGATCCATTTAGGCTGAACACCAGGTATTAGGCCACATCTTTCTAGCTACTATACATTACATAACACCATTAAAGGGAAATTCCGCTGATTTTCAAAATTTTTACATAATACAGTGGTTAAAATATGAATAAGGTCATTTAGAGTGATTTGATAAGAAATAATTCATTTGTAGAGAAACCTACTAATGTGATATGAACCAGGGGTCCTGGTTGTCTACAAGGCAAATATAGCCATTTTATTTACTATCCAAAACCACTTGTGAACCTACAGGTGTCTTCTGAGCCTTGATATGTAACTGTGATGGCAAAACAGTGTTCACCCTGAAAAAATATGTTTTATACCAAAATTTTGTTACACAACTACCATAAAATCAGATGCCGGGCAGCTTATTCATAACCATTTCGTGTAATAACTTTCTGTGAGGGAGCTTTTAGACATGGACGTCTGGTTCCATTCACCACCACTGTAAACAATTCTGACTCGTTAGGTTTCTCTAGAACGAAGCATTTCACACCAAACCACTCCGAATGACTTTGTTTATAGTTTAACCGCTGAATTATGTAAAAAGAAAATGCAAATTTGGTGGAGCTCCACTTTAAGTCTTTTGAAACGTGATGCGTTCAGGCTATTTTTTAGCAACAGTAGTATCAACACGTACTTCGTATTTCGGTTCACAGGTACTAAATATCTTACTTTTAAGCATCTAATGAGTGTTCAGTGTCGTCTGTGCCATTAAGTCGAGCTGAGTGACAGCTGAGTTAGCTTCTAGCTTCTGTGGTGAAGTTGTAGCTAGCTTAGCCACTCACCTTTGAAGAGATAGTCATACTCTTCTTCTCTACCCGTCATTGCTTCAGTCCTGTATCGATTAGGCAAGTTAAATCCTGTAGAAACAACGAGCAAAACGCTTTTCCTCTGAAGAGTTTTACAGAGTTGACACTGCGGTCGAACAAGTAACTTAGCTTTCGGCTAACTACCGTTCACGTCAGAGAAAGTTGTCATGAAGAGAAGACAGCAGCTCGTTAGTTTGCCGGGGGGGGGCAAAAAAAGCGCATACCGCTTAAAATTATCTGTCAAAAAACGTTCAGTGAAGTAAACATGTGATAAATTTGAATTTTAACCCCGATTTTAAAGCGAAAACGTCGCCGTTTCGCTGAGGAGCTCGCCTGCCTGCGTCACCAAAACTTTCGGTCCTCGTATGTAGCTCCTAGCGACGTTAACACCTGCCACCAGCCGGCATCTGATTGGCTCGTCCGCTTGTCAATCACAAAGCGGCGCCCAATGAGCGAGCGCACTGGCTTTGGCAGGTGTGCGACGTCATCGCCGTATCGCTCCGCCCCCCGGTGACAGCAAAGAAGGCGATTATAGCACCTGAACTGCCACGTAGGAGGCAGAGAGGAGTCCATTCGATACTGAAACACCTGACTGCGCTGAATCAGTGCGCAACCTGCTGCTCTCGAGAGTCTTATCAGACTCTAATCAGGCGGAATGTTCCGAAGAGGAAAACTTCCTCTCAGGGAAAAGGTTTTCAGCCATCCAGACCTTTGAAGTGTCGATTACTAGGAAGTCAAGCAGTAGTCAGGGCCTGATTATGATCGTGTGGTGCCTTTGGGCGTAAGAGCCACAGTGCAATGTCCCCACAAGCCCACTAATAATAACCGTTGGCTGAAAATGTCTAATCTGAAGTAGTTTTCCTCAGCTAAGACCATGTCAAGTATGCCAGGGGTGCTTCCCTCTAGCTACTATATTACATAAAAGTATTAAAGGGGAAGACCACTGATTTTTCAGTTTCTCCATAATTCAGTGGTTAAGATGCACTATATGGACACCTGTATGTATTGGGACACCTACACATTACACCCACAGGAACTCTTATGACATCCCTTTCTAAATCCATAGGCAGTAATATGGAGTTGGTCCCCCTTTGCAGCCATAACAGCTTCCGCTCTCCTGGAACGGCTTTCTACGAGATTTAGGATAGCGTCTGTGGGAATCTTTGCCCATTCATCCAGAAGAGCATTTGTGAGGTCAGACACTGATGTTGGACGAGAGGGCGTCTCTGTTCTAGTTCATTCCAAAGGTGTCAGATGGGGTTTGATGTCAGGGCTCAGTGTGGGCCAGTCAAGTTCTTCCACACCAAACTCACCCAGCCATACCTTTATGGACCTTGCTTTGTGCACTGGGGCTCAGTCATGCTGGAACTGAAAAGGGCCTTCCCCAAACTGTTCCTACAAAGTTAGAAGCATGCATTTGTGTTTTAATTGTGCAAACAAAGTGCTTTACATCACTCCATCTGACGCTTGGCATTGTGCTTGGTGATGTAAGGCTTACATGCAGCTGCTCAGCCACGGAAACCCTGCCATGAAGCTACTGCCGCACAGTTTTTGTGCTGATGTTGATGCCAGAGGAGGTTTGGAACTCTGCAGTTACTGAGTCAGCAGAGTGTTGGAGACTTTTATGCACTATGCTCCTCAGCACTCAGCGACCCGCTCTTTAACTTTATATGATCTGACATTTCGTAGCTGAGTTGCTGTGGTTCTTAAACACTTCTGTTTTGGATCACGGAACATCAAGGAGGGAAGAAATTTCAAGAACTGACTTGTTGCAGCGGTGACATCCTATTACAGTACCACTCGAATTCAGTGAGCTCTTTAGAATGACCCCTTCTTTAGAGATGTTCATAAAGGCAGACTGGTGCTTGATTTTATACACCTGTGGCAAAGGCACTGAATGAAACGCCTGAATTCAGTGATTAAGAGGGGTGTCCCAATACTTCCATATAGTGTATAAACAAAGTCATTTAGTGTGATTTGATGAGAAATAATTCATTTGTAGGAAAACTTTTCTATTATATGTTTGTGGGTAAAGCATGATCCTGTCTATGTTTTCCCCATACAGACACAACTGACCACCTAATTTACACAGTGATCATGCTTTCTGGATATTTCTGGCTGAATTTTGAGGCTGTCTCTTGTGATATGTTAAGAGACTTCAAGTAAACTGAATGTTTCAAATGTTGTGCTAACAGATTAAAGTCATTTAAAACTGTGCACTTTTTTGAGCAACCTTTTGATGCCCCTGGGCAGTCACCCAGGCCACCCATATGGTAGATCTGGCCATGCAACCAGTGGTATACCGTTTCACTATTCATTAAATAAGCTTGGCTTATGAAATTTCATACACTCACTGGTGTGAATTACCAGCTTTAAATACCTCCTCCTTCACTCATTTGACCCAATGAAGCCCTTTGTATGAGTGGCAAACACACCTCTAAGACTATCCAGTAAGCAGGGTTGTTACAATACACACATTTTCAGGCTCTATACGATCTTCAGCTCAACATTCTGCTCAGTCTGTTATGAGGAAAAAACATCAGTCGTATGCAAAAGTTTGCGCGCCCCCAGTCACATGACAGGTTTTGTTTTGATCTTCAGAATTTCTCTACAGAAAACATACAGTGGACTATTAGTGTTTATTTGCTGACTTTGACATATTGTGGAAAAAATAAAATTAAAATGTGTCCTGTTTTTGGCAAATTTTATATTTTACGAGTTCTTTTTTCACAATATGTTAAACGCAGGATATAAATACAAATCGTGCACTAAAACTTGCTGGAAAATGCCATGTTGAAGTGTGTTTACTGTAGAGGAAGTGTCACTTATTGGGGGTGTTTAAACTTTTATGTACAACTGTATGGTACACTGATTGATATGGCTTCGAATTTTATTTTAGTACAAAAGACTGCAAAGTAGCATGTCCTTGTGAACACCCTGGGCCTCATTCACCAATATCTTCCCAAGTTGTTTCTTAAATGGGTCATTCTACAGAAATGTCCACTTTTTTATCTGTCCATAGGAGTCACTGGTGTGACTGACCGTCATTGGTTTTACACATAAGAAAGGTAGCACCAGACACATTAACACCAGTGACATTTTTAATGAAAAATGCATTTTACAAAAAGAGCATCAAACCACATTTTGTCAATCATGGAATGTCCACCAAAATATGTAATCTAATCCATTTGTATTCTATTTTTTTCACAATTACCTAAGAATAAAGTCGGTCACACCAGTGACGTCAACTAAAAGCTTCATGTGAAATCATGAGCTAAATGAGAAAATCTCTGATAACTGAGAGACACAGTGGACTCACCATGAGCTTTTCTTCATAGATTCTCAGGAAACAGGTAAAAGGAAGTCAAGTGATGTCATCAGTGTGATTTTTATTTCAAAATAAGAGACTTTTTGTTACGCAGTAACACCAGTGACATGACTCCTGGGGACCCCAACTTTCATTATATATTTTATAATATTTATTTGGCATCTGTTTTCTTTATGTCGTTTAAATCGTATATTCCCTAGTCATGTGTAGATTATTGCAGTTAAAATTGCAGAAAAAGATATTTTTTTTACGTCAAAATATGGCGCTCAGCCTTTACACATGACTGTGAGGACAAGCACTTCTGTGGTTCTTGGAATTCTATATAATTGATTTAAAAACCAATATTGCTAAATTGAGGCTCAAGAAGGTGTAATTGTTAAAATAACTTCTGAAATCCAATGTGTGAAGTGTAAGATATCTGTAAACGCCAGGGACACAAAAATTGATGTTTCTGTCCAATGACCTAAATGTGTTCTTGAGAAAGGTCCTAAGAACAAGTCTACGTCAGATTAATGACCTGTTCTTAAACCATAGAGATGTTCACACCTTCGTGCTCTTGAGTGTTTGTAGATTCTGTTCTTTCCTAAGAACAAATCTCAAATAAGAAAACTGCAAGTGGGTTTAAAGAAGAAATTTCTTAAGAACAGTTGGTGAATGAGGCCCACTGATCTTCTAAAAAGTGTGGCTGAGCTATGAACGATACAGATATGATGCATCTAGAGGCCCAGTTTTGATCACTGACACAAAAGTAAGTAGGAGACACTCGGGAGAGACTGAGGGGCGTCTCGAGATTAGTTTTAAATTCCAGTACAATGTTCTGAATATGTTTTTGTCTCTATTTTTGTACTGACCTTAGACACTTACCTGTGTGGGTCTCCTTCCCCCCCCCCGGTCGAGCTGGTCCTTCCTGACGTTATCCGAGTTTGTTTAAGTCATTAGTTGCTGTTTAGCTAAAGCAAGAATAACCAGTTTTAGACCAGGTTATTATTTATTTTATTGACGACATTTTACTGAGTGAGAAAGCAACCCCCAGCTATTTTACTTTCTGAGCTTCACATCCTGTAAAATCTATATAACTTTTATACCATCTGTGCCCAGAAGGTCCTCCTTTGCATAAAATGGTGTTAGCTAGCTGGCTAACGGCTGCTTGCCCAAATAATCTCTCCTTATTTTTGGCACTGCAATGACAGTGTCAATGATTACTGTATGAAAGTATGTTTGCTATATACAGGGGTGGGTTTAGTGATTCTGGGGTCCTACACTCTTACAACAGATGGTTAGGAAAGACGATTCTATATAGAACCATGAACCCTCAAAGAACCATTTGCATGCATAAAAGGTTCTTTGCGTGTTGAGAATTTCCCTGTTGTGGGACTAATAAAGGATTATCTTATTTTACCTTGAATAGTTCTTCAGATTGATGGAGAGTGTGTTGTATATGGTTCTATATAGAGTGATTGATTCAAGCTTGACATTGTAACAATAGCAGAACCCTTTTTGGTGCTGTATAGAACCATAAACAACACATTCTCTATCAACTTGAAGAACAATTTCATCATATCAAGAACCTTTTATGCATGCGAAAGATTCTTTGAGTGTTCATGTACTCAACATGTACAGTATACAGTGTTGTGAAAAAGTATTTGCCCCTTACCAATTTCTTCTGTTTTGCATATTTGTCACACTTGAAAGATTCAGATCATAAAACCAGTTTTAATATTAGACAAAAAAGCCCAAGTAAACACAAAATGCTGTTTTTTCAATGATGATATAATTTATTCAAGGAAAAGTGCTCTTCAGCCCTGCCTGGCCCTACATGAAAAATCAACCAGTTAACCAAAATCATTTGACTATTGGGTTCAGTTTCACTAGCCACACCCAGACATGATTACTGCCAGATTAGTTGAGCCTAAACATCACATAGAACCTGTCTGGCAGAGTGAAGTAGGCTAGAAGGTCTCAAAAAGCAGCACATTGTGCCACGTTCTAAAGAGGTTCAAATACAGATGCATTACAAAGTCACTGAAATCTACCATACAAGGGTTACAAAGCCATTGCTGAGGCTCTGGGACTCCAGCAAACCACAGTGAGAGCCATCATCCACAAATGGAGGAAACCTGGAACAATGGTGAACCTTCCCAGGAGTGGCCAGACTACTAGATTTTTACAGAGAGTGCATCAATGAATCATTCAGGAGGTCACAAAAGAACTCAGACAAACAGGTCACGATTACACGATTACACGATTACACAAGTACACGATTCCACAATAAGAAAAACACTAGGCAAAAATGCATCCATGGGAGAGTTGCAAATTGCAAAAAAAGACTTTTGGGATAATATTGTGTGGACTGATGAGTCAAAGGTGGAACCGTTACATCTGGAATAAAGCTAACACCACATTCTGCCATAAAAACATCATAACAACAGTGAAACATGGTGGAGGTAGTGTGAAGGTATGGAGCTGCTTTGCTGGACGACTTGTCATAATTGATGGAACCATGAACTCTCTCTCTCAATCAGAAAATCCTGAAGGAGAATGTCTGCTCGTCAGTTTGTGACCTAAAGCTCAAGCACAGTTGGGTTATGCAGTAGGACAATGATCCAAAGCACACAAGCAAGTTCACCTCTGAATGGCTCAAAAGAAACAAAATTAAGAGTTTTTGTGGCCGAGTCAAAGTCCTGACTTGAATCCCATTAAGACGCTGTGGCAAGACCTTAAACGATCAGTTCCTGCTCAAAATCTTTCTAATGTAGCTGAATTTAAATAATTAGGTCTAGGGGCAATTACTTTTTCACATGGGTGATACAGGGTTTCAAATAAATCTTTATCTTCAATAAATGGAAATCATCATTTAAAAGCTGCATTTTGTGTTTACTCGTCTTGTCTTTATCCTATATTCAAATTAGATGATCTGATGTGACAAATTAGATAAAATAGAAGAAATTGTGTTGAATTTTGTTTTGTAATTTGACTGGGCCCTCAGGTCATGGGGCCCCTTGGTGGTTGCCTAGTGCAAAGACCACCCTTGGCTGTTTATGTAGCTAATTTTAGTGGCATGCTGGCAAACAAAAACACTTTATCAGTTCACATCATACGTGACATTTGTCTGAGCAACATAGGTAACCACGTGGGTGATTTCAGTCAATTGGACAGCGTCTATGGTTCGGCAGTCGACCATGGTCACCATATCAGCAAGCTGTGACCTTTTTAGACCATACAGCTGCTGTTTTGGCTTATTGTATTGTGTGTAAACATTTATAAGCTGTATTATAAGCATTTACAATCGTGTTTATGTTAATGTCAGTTATCATAAAAGGCTTATGTAGGTGTCATATAGCCTTATGAACACTGCTGTACAGTAAAGTGTAACCAAACAGACAAACTATGTGTGAATATATAAATAAAGTCATTCTACCAAATTTGTCTAGACAGTAAAGAAGCTATTTAAAAAATAATTAAGCACTCAGACCTTATATATTTACAAGGATTCCGTTATGATCTATTTAAAGCTAAAGCATAAATTGAGATAATAATGAGTTAAATATATACAAAATCATCATATATAGGGTACTTGGGAGGTGGCTGTCCCAAATCCTAACCCCTAAATTTGCACTTGAGAATTTTCTAAAACTTAATCTTTTTAATTTCTTTCAAAGTAAAGTTAAAAGATTTAGATTTATCATAAGTTTAATTTGAAATAAAAAATGTAGAAAATGCTGTCCCACATTTTCATGTCACTACCGAAACAAAAAGAGTTTTAGTCCACAGGCGGAGCCTTATTTTAGCCACGCCCCTGCATTATAGAGCAGGACTGCATCCCTGTCCCTCATGGCCACATGGTGATCAGTTAGATCCCATTGTTTTAAAATAAGTGCTTCCTAAAGTCTGAAAATCAGTGTGGAATGTTATGAATTGTCTCTACCGAAACACATATTTTCTGCAGTGAAGTAGTCTTGTGTTTTAATGAAAAATATTATGATTTTATGTGTGTCACAGCTGTTCACAGCTGTGTTTGCTAGTCATGCACTGGCTAGTGTTTTTGAGTTCTGCACAAAATGAGCTAAAATTGTCACTACTGAAACAGTCACCACTGAAACATTTGGTAAAGTTCGTGTAGTTATGATTGTTTTGGTAGTTACAAAATGGAATGTTCAATCATTTGTTTTAATAAAATTAAACGTAATTAGCATATAGAGTCACTCAAAGCAAAAGGGATTTTAGTCTAAGTCAGTTTAAAAAGTCCAAAATGTGTTTTCAGCTTTGAACCAATTCAGTGGAACAATCGATACAGTTGAACAGCCTTATGCAAAAGTTTGTTGCGCCACAGTTCAAGTATGTTTTTTAAATAATAAAAAAAATGTAATTAAATATACTGGGGAAAAAACACAAAATGTGGTTTGTAAAATAAAAAAATGAGCACATTTTTTATTTTGTTTTATTTTTTTCAATACATTAAATTCAGGAAATAAAAATGTGCTCTATAAATTAGCAGAAAATGTCATATTTAACTGCGTTCTTTGTAGAGAATTTGATCATTTAATTTCACTTAAAAACATCAACTACACGAAACTTTTGCATACAACTGTATATAAAGGCGTCTGTATACATAATACCTCATATGTTATTGTTTTCTTTCACACATAATTCAGAAAGACTCATTTGGATGAAATTCACTTTTATTAGCAGACATTGTCTCAAAGCAGCTTGTCCAGAAATCCGGGTTTCAACCCATCCTCCTCTGGACCACACCGGACCCGGCAGTTAGGAAACAAGTAGAACAAGTTTAAAAGGAATAATAGTTGGAAAAAAGTTAAATGTCTGTCAAAGTACACAATAAACCTGTTTGCGAAACATCAGATGATGCAGGCTGTTTTGCTGGAAGGTCTACAGTCCAGCAGAGGAATCCTGACCAGTAAAGAAAATATTACACTAAAACACACCGTTATTATATTAAAGTCTTTAAAGTCAAATCAAAGTTCATATTTATCATACTGAAGTTGACCTTTACCCTGATAGTGTTAATCCTTTAACACCAGTACATGATAATAAATATTCTCTGTGATGCAGTAAAGTCTATATGAATGCATATTTTATTATTCTTGATCCTGATTTAAAAATGATTAACATGTGACAAATATTATAATTTGGTTCAAATAATATATAAGAAAGCCAAGTATTTAACAGTTCAGCAGGCCTGTATAATCAGTTTATTAGTAATCATCAATTGCAGCCCACTGTATTAATCAGAAAAGCTTAATAGATCAATATATGTAAAAATAAAGTATGCCGTTTTAATTTTAGTGTTTTTTCCACTTTGAGTGTAACATGAACAAATCATTTTAAGACGTCAAAATCTGTCAAATCTCAAATTATTTGAAAACCACACCTATTACATAACATATTAAATCATTTCATAAATGGCATCTTCCTCACACAGTCAGAAGTGTCCATGTGAGGCTAGGCAGGTTTATTTTAAAAGGGATACATCAGCGTCTCTTTAACCTGATCTCTATCTTCGCATCTGCACACTCTCCTAGGGTTCTTTAGTAAAGACAAAGGTTCTTTATAGAACCATAAATATGTATGCAGTATGTATAAAATGGTTCTATGTCACAATTGTTACAAGTTGACATCATACATTCTTTCAAAAGATGGCTCTTCAAGGGTTCTTTAGTAAAGAAGACGGTTCTATATAGAACCTTGAACACTCAAAGAACCTTTTGCATGATTAAAGGGTTCTTTGCATTGTGAAAAGGTTCTTCGGATTGATGGAGAATGTGCTAAAGAACCCTTTTTGAAAAAGGTTCTATGTAGCCAACAAAAAAAAATACTTCTGAAAATCCCACATTTTCATGTCACTACTGAATTATACTGAAATTTTAAAAAATGGTGGAATTCCCCTTTGAGGAAAGCAAAAGTTACCGGAACTACTTTTTTACTGTGGTAAAAGTTGTATATAAAAAATTTAAGAGCAGCTTTGGTAGGTGACATTGGTGTCTGTCTTATCCTAAACCTGCTCTATTAGACTGTCATATAATATAAAGTATATAGTCAAGCATTTTAAAAGTTTGTTCTCAGAATTCAGCAGCTGCCCATTGGCTTCTATCATAATGTTATAGGCACCCTGGTCAAATTAGATGTCTGTAAGACATTTGTTTAAACTGAGGAGCTGGCAACTTACATTCTTAACTAAAACTAGGCTGGTCAGCTAGATAGCCAACAGCCTAAACAACTCCATCATTAATATCACAGGCTTGAGTTAAAGAACTTACGGTATGATTAACTGTAAAATAGGGGCATAAAGCCTAATCAATGTCACTTGAAAGTCTTACACGCTTCAAATGTTCATGTTTCAGTCAGAAGTCGCATCAAACCCAGGCTGAGTCCCAAACGGCTCTGTACTCCCTAAATAGTGTGCTAACTATGAGAGTTTAGAAATTCTAGCCTCTACAGCCAAATAGTGCATCATTTGTCGAGTGTGGATGTGTCTGAGCCCCAAATGATTATTTCTTAGCTGTATTTAGCTCTGTTGGGCTGCAGGATCCAGTATTTAAATTCCTACATAGTGCACTATGTAGGGAGCAGGGAGCTATTTTAGGTTCAGCCCCAGTGTGAGAAGAGGGGTGCCGCTGGATTGGTGCTAAATAAGACTCACGGTGGTAATTTGGTGACCAAAAAGTACTTATAAGCGAAAGTTTTTGCATTAAACAGTGCTGTTTTATCCTTTGTTTACTGTTATATGACAAAAGATTAACAAATCATGAAATGACCGCAGTATACAGCGATGGGCGAATGAACGTTCTCCTCATTCAGCAGTCCATGGTTGCTTGGCAATGATACCGTACTCTAAAGAAACTACATTTCTTGGCGGAATACTTGTTTATGTCGATTATTATTAATGGTAACGCACAGCCTCAAGTGGCTTATTGCTTTAATATTAGTGTGTTCTCTAGAGAGAGTGTGTTACCTTATTTTCACTTAGAAAATCAATGATGCAGATGGAGATCAGGTTGAAAATGCTGCAGTATTCCTTTAAAGCTATTTAAATGGCTTCATAAGCATCATGAAACTTGAGACATACAAAAATACTTTCTCATGACAGCCACATGGCATGAAGGAAAACATCAGTCATTGAAAAGTGGTTCTTATGAATGTGTGGTGATTGGCTGACCAAGATTTGTATGGAGGTGCCTAGTGTCCATTCCTGGACGATGAAGGAGGATAGAAGTCGATCCTATCCTCAGTCCCTCTCTGCCATTCCTCCAGATTATTCTTACATATTCTTACAGCAAGGCTTCTTCTCCTCCTGAGGGTCAGCTGGTGCAGTTTTGGGACTGGACAGTGACACTGCATTGATTGACCCGCGGGTCACCTCTTTACTGCTCACTTTCTTATGGATTTCTGCAACAGAATTAGTTTTGGTGTTTTGTAAAGAAAGTGCTGCACTTCTGAATTCAAGCATGAACATAATTTGACATGAATAAAACGTATTTCATTAATACAATTATTGCACAAATTCAAGCCATCTGACAAAAATGTACCAAAATTTGCACCACTATAGGATTTTTTTTTACGATAAATGATAATTCACACCATATTTTGGCATTTTACAGTATTATGAGTTGCATTTTCTTGACATAGCTAAATTATAACACGTTTGACAAGTAATGTAAACATATTTTGGTATTTTATTTTGCATTTTCTTCTGAATGATATATACATATTGGAGTTAAGTAAATTCAGTGCATCACTTTTTTAGTGTGGTAATTTTGAAATGTATTAAAATATAAAATGCAAACACAAGACACGTTTCTATAGAAGCCCATTTCCTTACTTTCCCAAGAATTTGACATAGTATATCAAAACACTGATTTGCTTTCTCAAAATTTTGACCATGTATCTTGAATATTATGTCATCATAGTATGTCAAAATAATGACTGATTTTCTCAAAAATTTGACTTAGTATCACAAAATGATGAGTTGCTTTCCTAAGAAATTGACATAGCATGTCAAAATAATGACTAACATTTTTAACATTTTGACTTGAGCATATTAAGATAATTACTTACTTTCTCAAGAATTTGACATAGTACATCCAAATAATGATTTTCTTTCTCAAAATGTTGATAACGTATCTCAAAATATTGACCTACATTCTTGAGAATTTGACATAGTATGTCAAAAAAGTCTTTTTCTCAGAATCTCAACATAAAATCTTGAAATAATGACTTACGTTCTCAAGAATTTGACATAGTATGTCAGAATAATGACTTCTCTTCTCAACATTTTTACTTAAAATCTCAAAATAACAAGTTACTTTCTTAAGAATTTGGCATAGTATGTCAAAAAAACTAATATTTTTAACATTTTGACTTAGTGTCTCAAAATAATTACTTACTTTCTCAAAAATGTGACATAGTGTATTTAAATAATGATTTATTTTCTCAAAATGTTGCCTAAGTGTCTCAAAATGATAATCTTCATTCTTAAGAATTCAACATAGTATGTCAAAAAAAGTCATTTTCTTAGAATCTTAACATAGAATCTTGAAATAAAGACTTTCTAAAGAATGACATAGTATGTCAAAATGATAACTTATTTTCTCAACATTTTGACTAAATATCTCAAAAATAATGAGTTACTTTCTCACAGATTTGACACATTATGTCAAAATAATGACTTTTTTCTCAACATTTTGACTTACTATCTCAAAATAATGAGATGGTTTTTTTTGAGAATTTAGTATATCAAATTGTTACCCAGAATCTTGAAATAATGACTTACTCTTTCAATAATTTCATTTAGTATCTTAAATTACTTACTTCATCAAACTACTGACTTAATATCTCAAAATAATGATTTACTTTCTTTACATCTAAATTCAAACTCTTTATTTCAATATGTTGAGAAATTAAGTGATTATTTCGACATACCAAATCATACTCATACAAGATACTAAGTCTAATTATTGAGAAGTATGTCATGAAAACATGAGTCATTATTTTAAGATACTAAATTGATATTTTGAAAAGTCCGTTTTTAGATAATAAGTCAAAATATTAACATGTTACTGCCGGAAACTCAGAAAGAGCTAAAAAAAAAAAGTTTTTTCCTCCCCTATCTGGCAGGAATGGACCATACATTTCACTGTATAATGAAGCCAGATGACAGTAAGTACCGTAATTCCAAGAGCAGAGCTACAAGGAAGAAAAAGCCACAGAAATCTGAGCCAAAGTATTGACTGTATACAGAACTCACCTATTAGGACATTGTTGAACGCGGTCTCCACGTTTGTTGACTCCAAGGCTGAAGTTTCCATGAACAGCAGCCCGTTTTTTTCTAAATGAGAGAGCGATGTGTGTCAGCGCTGCACATCACTGCTGTCATATCAATTACACCAGTTTATAATGCCAGCAGCCCTTTACATGTGACCATGAATGACAAAAGAACTGAAACTGCTTGGAATACAATCTTATTACATCAATATACAGTTGTGTGTAAAAGTTTGAGCACCCCTGGTCAATTGGCACATTTTGACATTTTAGATAATATATTTTCCAGTATTTTAAGCTCTGCAAATAAATAGAATTTGTGCATTAAACTTGCAGAAGAATGTCATACACTACTATATTGCCAAAAGTATTCGCTCGTCTGTCTTCACACGCATATGAACTTGAGTGACATCCCATCCCCATGGCTCACAGTCTCCGCTCTAATTTATCCCAAAGATGTTCTATCGGGTTGAGGTCAGGACTCTGTGCAGGCCAGTCAAGTTCTTCCACACCAAACTCGCTCATCCATGTCTTTATGGACCTTGCTTTGTGCACTGGTGCGCAGTCATGTTGGAACAGGAAGGGGCCATCCCCGAACTATTCCCACAAAGTTGAGAGCATGAAATTGTCCAAAACCTCTTGGTGCTGAAGCATTAAGAGTTCCTTTCACTGGAACTAAGGGCCCGAGCCCAACTCCTGAAAAACAACCCCACACCATAATAACCCCCTCCACCAAACTTTACACTTGGCACTATGCAGTCAGATGAGTTCTCCTGGCAACCGCCAAACCCAGATTCGTCCATCGGATTGCCAGATGGAGAAGCGTGATTCGTCACTCCAGAGAATACGTCTCCACTGCTCTAGAGTCCAGTGGCAGCGCTTTACACCACTGCATTCAACGCTTTGCATTGCACTTGGTGAGGTAAGGCTTGGATGCAGCTGCTCGGCCATGGAAACCCATTCCATGAAGCTCTCTATGCTGTTCTTGAGCTAATCTGAAGCCCGCATGAAGTTTGGAAGTCTGTAGTGATTGACTCTGCAGAAAGTTGCCGACCTCTGTGCACTATGTGCCTCAGCATCCGCTGACCCTGCTCTGTCATTTTACGTGGCCTACCACTTCGTGGCTGAGTTGCTGTCGTTCCCAATCGCTTCCACTTTGTTATAATACCACTGACAGTTGACTGTGGAATATTTAGTAGCGACTGCACAGGTGGCATCCTATCACGGTACTACACTGGAATTCACTGAGCTCCTGAGAGCGACACATTCTTTTACAAATGTTTGTAGAAGCAGTCTGCAGGCCTAGGTGCTTGGTTTTATACACCTTTGGCCATGGAAGTGATTGGAACACCTGAATTCAATGATTATAATAATACTTTTGGCAATATAGTGTATTTAAGTTTGTTCTCTGTAGTGAATGTAACTTATTTACACTTAGAAAATCAACTAAATGTAATCTGACTGGGGAGTGTTCAAACGTTTGCACATGGCTACACATTATATTAAAGAAAATTTTTCCTCTTCCAATAAAGTTACCATTTCAGAGAAGTTATTCATTAACTACCAGAATTTACTCAGTAACTACTAAACTGTTTCTGCAGTTATGAGAGTGAATTCAAATGTAGGCCCAAATACAGGCCCCTGCAGTTTAATGGGTTATTCAAAATAAAGACACATTTAAAAAACAGTTTAGTACCTGCGAAATCCTTTGCATCCTCTGTTGGCACAGACCGTATCGTTGACAAGTCTGATTTGTTGCCCACTAGCATGACCACTATGTGGGGGTCCGCATGGTCATAAAGTTCCTTCAGCCAGCGCTCCGCACTCTCATAGGTCAGGTGCTTTGAAATGTCATAAACTAGCAGCGCTCCAACGGCACCCCGATAATAACTGAGGAGGAGGAACAGAAGAAACAAGGCTCAGTTAACTGCACAAGGCTTTTGGGTTGGTCTTGATCCATGGTAGGAAATTTCTGGGAAGGTTTTTGGACTATTTGGACCTGACAAATAAGACACCTCTGTCATTCTGCTAATGCCTAAACATGGATTCTCAAAATTTAGGCTAAATAGCCAAAGTTAAGCTTAATTCGATTTAACCCAGTAAAGTAATGGTACAGTAATAGGTGGCCCCTGGCAATCATGGGGCCCTAAGTAGCTGCTTATGTCACTTATTAGGAAGAGCAGGACTGCACTTTTTTTCAAACGAGCAACAAATAATGAAAGGAACTGTAAAAGAGTTAATTTGAACGGAATTGGATTTGAAAGTGTCTTGAATGAAACGTGCAGAAATTAGTGTTTTCTAGCCCTTGTGGTGACCTACAATTTCACAGTCCAACTGAAACCACAAGCAAGAAGAGGGACCTTCTTGATGCTGTGTTTGGATAGACCAGGAAAACTAATGAACTCCCACGTTGACCACAAAAACTGCATTCATAGCTACCAAATACCAGTTTCAGTAGTTTTTAACATGCCCTAGTCATCAAGGCCAACTTGAAAGCCGTTCCATAACTATTAGCTCAAGTGAGAGAGGGAATCAAGGTAAGTGGCGACTTTAGCAGCACATCTTACCCAGAAATCATTGCGATCTTACACATTTTCCTCTGAAAACCCAAAGAAAAAATATCTGGCAGAGCTGTTTATAAACCATAGATTACTTACACATAATACTTAATATTACATATCTAAAAATATGATTTGCTATGTTCAAGCTGGGGTTTTTGTGGCTGACTACTCCATCTGATAAGACTGTTGAGGCAACCTTGTTACTTTACTTTGCTAACTAGTTAGCAAGCTAAAGGCTACACAGCTAGCAACAACAAAAAGAAAGGCAAGACCCATTGGTTCTAAATCAAATCAATTATTCACAAAACATGTTATGTTCAGACCTTTTAGCATTACAAAGCTTACATGGCTGGCTAGTTGGCTCACCATGGGGTCACTGTCCCCTCCTTCTGTTGAGCTGTGAGTGACCACTTGTGTAACATAAGTGTGACACACTTCTGAGAACTACTTGGAGTCAGATTTGGCAAGACTATTGTTAAAAACAATACTGAAATGGGACTGTAGACATAAATATGTAGGTAATCTCCATGTTAGCTGGGTTTACAAGTTTGCAAGCCAGAACATTCCCTGATACCATACGAGTGCAGTAGACCAAGCTGAAGTCCATTTCAGCAGATCTTACGACATTATGAGTTGACAAAACTGTCCAAGCGCAACATAAACAGCCTTTCCACTGTATGTGTGCAGAGGCCGTACTCACGCAGAGGTTATGGCTCGATATCTTTCCAGTCCGGCCGTGTCCCATATCTGGGCTTTGATGGTCAAGCCCTCTAACTGCACGGTTCTTGTGCTGAACTCCACGCCAATGGTCGTCCGGCTGTCGTGGTTGAACTCATTCTTGGTGAATCTCGAGAGAAGATTGCTCTTGCCCACACCCGATTCCCCTATTAGCACCACTGGAAAACAAATAGAGAACCATTTAATGGCAGGCTAACCATCTTCTTGCTACTACAGGCCCAGGCCTGCACTAGCTATGTAGTACCTGTGCTTGCTAAATAGGTAGCTCAGTTTAGGTCGTCTGATCCAAATCAAAAGCTAATCTTAAAGGTATTATGACTCATTTGGGATGTTCTGTTGCTAAGGTGGACCATTTAAAATGCCGGCCATCACGCCCTGTAACAAATTAGGCAATTGCAGGGTATGTCCAGGCAAGCCAGAGAGATTTAAACATTTCATAATTGAAAATGAACGTCACACCTTTTCAAACAGACAGTGGTTGAATCACATACATTGTAGTATCTGGCAAGACTATGAGGAGGAAAAGACTAATGCTAACACTGATGAGAACAGAGTGTCTCATTTTCACCATAATGCACTTGCACTATGCACTATGGCCCGAATGTTGAGTATTTTGAACTAAATGAAAAAGTAATGTAGACAAATTCCGCACGGTACCTCATAGCACTGAATAGCGCCTAGGTTAGCTGTTGTTAGCCAACGTTAGCTAGCTAAAATTAGCTATAACATGCCCAGTTTTAAAACCTCTAGATCCATTTACCGAATGACCCAACGCAAGTAAGTATATGTAGAAAAAATGATTTTTAAAGGGCAACGACATAAATCACATTTGTTCCACACATTTCTCACAGTTTCACTAACATTACATTGTTTGTTAATGACAGTACATTTCAAATTTTCTCTCAAAATTATTCTAAAACAACGCCTCAGGAATCAAGCAGTGTATTCATAACCATTTCAATTTAAAACTTTCTATATTGGAGCTTTAAGAGGCCTATAACTCTTCAGATGTCTGGTTCACTAGTGCACTATACAAGTAGTAGTGAAATGTAGCCTTTGCTGTTTACCGTGACGTTTGACTTTGCTAACTGCCTTCGCACAAAAACAGGCCCTGTGTCTTAAATTAAGTACAACCCCAATTCCAAAACCAATGGGACTGTATGTGAAATGCTAATAAAACTTTTAACAGCACTGAATAATGGTTTGGGGACAGAAGACACAAACTGATCGAGGTTTGAAAGCAGAATTTTTTTTGCTATCCTTTTGTTGTGCAAGTCTTCAGCTACACAACCGTACAAGGCTTTCATTGTCGTATTTTGAGTGTAATAAGACACGTTTTCAATGGGAGACATTTCTGGCCTGAAGGTGCTGAATTACATGCCTGAAGGTAGTGAATTACTGCCTGATTCCTGAGGCATTGTTTTAGAATAATTTTGGGAGAAGAGTTTGGCCTAAAATTATGATTTTTAATCCATTCATGGCAGACAGGTACATGCAGGGTGTCCTAAGGCAAAACAGTCTCCAAAGAAAATGCATTTTTTCTGATTTACCACTGTTTTACCTTCATCAACATCATATATCAGACATGTAGGTCCACTGGTTGCTTGGGTTGTAAATAAAATGACTATATGCAAAAGTTTGGGCACTCCTGATTAAATAATACTTGTTTTGTTGATTTTCTTAGTGAAAACAAGTGAACACATCCTCTACAGAGAACACATGGCTGCACATTTTAAGGCACAAATACTGTTTATATGCTAAATTTAACATATTGGGGGGGGGGGTGGTTATATGAACTGTGTCCTCTGCAAAAATTATAGAACATTTTATATTTTATGCTTTTTTTTCCAAAAAATTACTTACACTTAGAAAATCAACAAAACATGTAATTTGACAAACCTTTGCATATGACTGTAAGTCATGAAATACGAGCAAACATTCAAAAGGCAGTGGGATTTAGCTGTAGACTGAAAGGACCCCAGTACGCGATGTTACACTAAGCCTTTTGAGATGCAGCCAAAGTTTAAGGCTGAATTTGTTCACACTGAACCAGACACCTTTGCACCACCTTAACTGGTGAAGAGCTGCACAAGAAACCAGGTGTAATCTCATGTTTAATTTCAACCAAAAGGATCACCTCAGCACATCGTTCACCTGTCTTGCTTTTCCAATCAAGGAAACCACTGAAAAGCCTTACTTTGTGCTTTGTAGAGTAAGATTGGGAGAAAAACCACACACTTCCCCTCCCTTACACGCTAACCTGCCTTGCGCAAACAGCACCCTGGTTGCTATGGCAAATCAGATCTGTGACCTTGGAGCTTTCTGTTTATATGTTGGGTGAGAAACGAATCCTCCGCTGGGCGAAAATATCCACTGGCTTTGCACCAGGTTGGACATTATGTCCATTTGTCTTGCATTCAGCTGCAGTTGTGCACATGTTCAAAGCAAATTAGAAATCATCGGATTAAACAATGGCCTTCCTTGAGGCCTTTCACCTGACTGTTTCTGCTTTTCTAATTACTGAAATCGCGCAGTCGTGGCAATCCAGTCACCAAATGTTCCTCATTACCCATGTGACCAACGTTATCAGTCATTGCTCTGCATACATACATCAGCATGTCATACTGTGCACAAACCATTTCCTCTTCAGAGGCATTTTGGTGCAACTGAATGAGTGACACACTGATACAGAAATTAACTGAGTGGATATCAGATAAATAAGAGAGGCAGTTCTCAAAATGTGTCATAATCTAGACCTAAACATAACACTCAACTGCAAGCAGTTTATATGGTTCTGGCAACATTAGTGTATATACAGTGGGGTCCCAATGTCTGAGACCACTCGTGAAAAAGCTTCTATTTTGCACTTCTTTCTAATTTAATAGCATAACATTTTGAATAAAAAGAAGAATCTTTAAAATTTTAACACAAATTTCAGAATTTCTTCGTATTTCATATGTCCATCTTTCGCTTTACTGACAGGTACACACACCACAAATTAGTGCAAAAGCCTCTGAACACGAGCTTCACTGGAAGAGATAAGGCCTCAACACTGTCATTGTCATAAATGTGCTTCAATTTGAATAGTAACCTACAAACAGCTACCAAATGAAGAATCTTGAATATTTTTCTTTCATTTTGCTTCTCATAGCTTTTCTTTGTTTAAAATGTTTCAGTTCTAAAAAGTTCTACTCTTTCGGACTCTGCAGTGCATACAGTTGTATACTAAAGCAATAAGCCACAAGAGGCAGTGCGTTACTGCAATTTAATCATGGGGAAGGGTGTTGTTAGGCACGATGCGAAGCAGAGGATTTTTGTGCTGTGGCACAGTGATAGCGGCGGTCATAGGAGTGCCTATATCGTAGATTTTACAGGCTTTGAACACAGCTCAGCCAAACAGATTTTAGGACTGGAACTATCAGTTTTATAAAGCAGTTTGAGCACCCCCAGTCAAATAGTATTTTTAGTTGACTTTCTAAGTGAAAATAAATTAGCATCTTCAATATAGCATTTGTCGTGCAAATTTTAGCGCACAATTTCTATTCATTTGCCGAATTTAATGTATTGGAAAAACCTGAATTATAAAATGTGTCATAACTTTTGCACAGGCCTCAATTTATGTTCCTTCCGCCCACCCCCAGACATGTTAAATTCAGCAAGTAAACATTCATTTTGCATTGAAATGTGCAGAAGTGTGTTCTCCGTAGAGGATGCGTTCATTTATTTTCACTTAGAAAATAAACAAAACATGTAATTTGACCAGGGGTGCCCAAACTTTTGCTGGACATGCCACTAATATCTGATTGTCCCACAATATATTTCAAAAAATACAATATACAAAACGTGTATAATTCTCTAAAATAAACCAGTAATCAGGTTTAATGTGGCTGTTTAAACAATTTAATAAAACATTTCTTTTGACAATAAGTGTATTTTCACCAAACACGAAATATCATTAGAATAGATGCAAATAAACAGAAATACAGTAAAAAGTCATAGAAATATTGTATTTTGAAAAAAAAAAAAAAGTAGTTGATATCGTTTAAAGAACACAGTTTGGTCACAGATTTCTCCTCAGTCATTGCACAGATCAATAAGTCAATTCCATCACCAGCACTCTTGATATATAATGATATATAATGATATATTATGATGCCTAATGAATCGAGTGATTATTCAGATCAGGTGTTGGATCATATCTATAAAATCATATGATAGTATTTTTGGAGGACTAGTTTGATCTGGCCTGCTATAAACATGCTCCTGTCCACATGTCCAATAAACATTTAAGATATTTTAATTAATCTGTGGTTCTAAGTGTAACTGGACCAGTAGGACACTTGGAAAGTCTCACTGAAACTGCCTAGAGTTAAAGGTTTTCTTCTTTCTTCTGCTCTCCTTCCAAGCTTTTTAAATACAGCCCCAAATTCCTAATCCAAACACGGTGTCATTTCCAAACCAGCGGAAAAACAGAATGTCAAAAGCGAAAAAAAATCAAAGAACGCACCTTTAAAGACAAAGTTGTAGGCCTCATCTGACCCCATTTCTCACATGAGTTCCTCTTTCTCAAAATCTGGATAAGCTCATGAGTCAAAATCCCAGCGTGTGTAGACGGGGAAAAGAAAACAGAGGTGACGGAACACGTCCACTAGCTGCACAGCAAAAAATAAGCAATTAGTAAGTAAATAAAACTCAATATGTATGTTTTCAATCACAACTCAGTGCGTATTTGGTGAAAAGTTTACCTGCTGGTACGAGGAACTAGCCGTAGTGTTTGGCCAGGCATTTCCGCTGACAAGCAGACAGGGGGGATGGAGGTGGGGTGGGGTGGGGCTGGTGGGGGTGTGTGTGTGAGGCTGAATCGTAAGCAGGTTGAACAAGTAGGGCGAGCACAGGTGCAGTCATACGAAACCGCCTCTAGTGCTGCACCTGCCTGGCCAATTAGGACGCAGACAGACGCAGGCCTCGCCCACTTTCGAGGGACAGCCAATCTGTTTGGTTTCTGTCCGAAGCAGGAAGCCTCTCCCTAGTGCAGACAGTTCAGATGACACCTGTTGCTGTGTGGAGGTTTCGTCATTACTGGGCTCACAGAGTGCTTTAGTGTGATAAAGCCAAGACATATTTGGTGTCTGAGGTTTGCTTGTTAGTTTAAGTCCCATTATATTTTTAGCAATAAAGTGACTGTAGTTGTTATTTATTTCTGTGGAAAGTGAATGAATCTATACTTTAACCTAAAATAAAATGATTAAAATTAGCATTTAAATGATCACAAAAACAAACAAAATGTCTGTATCCACTTTAAATCTGGTGATTTTGGGCTGTCACACCTCACTGACATTGAACTGATTGGACTCTATGAAATATAGTCATTAAAAACTTCCAGCAACACCACAATAGCAATGCAATTTAACATTAAAACGATTTTCCCCCAATAATTTATTCAATTTAACAAAGCAGTGCTATTGGAGTTTTAAAACACTGTGTCCACTCACTGTCCACTCTATTAGACACTCCTACCTTGCTGGTCCACCTTGTAGATGTAAAGTCAGAGGCAGTAGCTCATCGGCTGCTGCACAGTTTGTGTTGGTCATCCTCTAGTCCTTCATCAGTGGTCACAGGACGCTGCCCACAGGAAGCTGTTGGCTGGATATTTTTGGTTGGTGGACTATTCTCAGTCCAGCAGTGACACTGAGGTGTTTAAAAACTCCAGCAGCACTGCTGTGTCTGATCCACTCATACCAGCACAACACACACTAACACCCCACCACCACGTCAGTGTTGTTGCAGTGCTGAGAATGATCCACCACTCAATTAATACCTGCTCTGTGGTGGTCTTGTGGGGGTCCTGACCATTGAAAAACAGGGTAACAAAGTATGCAGAGAAACAGATGGACTACAGTCTGTAACTGTAGAACTACAAAGTGCACCTATATAGTAAGTGGAGCTGATAAAATGGACACTGAGTGTAGATTTAAAGAGTTGCACCTAATGAAATGGCTGGTCTGTATATGTTGAAGCAGTAACCTCATTTCTGCTTAATTTATTTTTGGAAGCATTTATAATTTATACACGCCCAGTGCTGGGGTGGGTAATCAGGAGAGTTGGGGGAATTCCTGGTGTGCTGTTAGCTTTTTGGGCTGGTTACAGTGAGCTTATGTATAAATGTTACATCCAAGTGTATATCTGTAGTAGTTTAGGGGTTAAACCAGCATCCCCACCTCAAGTGGTGCAGTCCCAGTTTGCTGATTGTAACTGAGTCTCATAAAGTGAATAGAGATGAAGCTGAAGTTAGTTTCTTATTCTTATTTCCCGTTTCACCTTAAATTAAGCAGCAGCTACATTCAGATGCCAGTGTGAGCGCTAGTGTGTATCTGCTACACTATTTAAGGTGGAACAGAAATTTGAATAAGTAGCTAAATTCAGCCTTGAGAAATTAGTGTATCAAATTCAGCACAACGGTGTGATACTGGCTGACGCAACAGGCAGCTCTACAGAGTTCATCATTTTTTGCCTTAGCAATGTATGAATTTTCATACGCGAATTATTTGAAGCTGAACAGCAGCAGTAGGAGCTGCAAAAAATCAAGGTGGCACCGACAAGAATGAAAAAGCTAATTAAGGAGGATGAGGACATATCTGAGCAGATGGGCAATGAAAAATAAAGAGCATTTGTCTAAAGCACAGTGTTTCCCACGTCTCCTTCTTTGCCAAGACATCACAATATGTTGTGTTTTGGATGCTGTAATCATGGTCAACTAGCATGGCCATGCTGAGTGACCAGCTGAACCAGCACCAGGCCAACACTAGACTAGCACTGACCAGCTTAATCCAGCATAGACCAGTAGGACCAACACAGAGCTGCCAGAATGCTCAAGTGAGGCCACAAACCTTCACTTTTGCTCCAGTGCAAAACTAAAGAATTTCAGAAACCAAGCATGTCTGTCTAATCTGTCTATTAAGAACATCTTGCCATTGATTTCAACTAATGCAATGCATTAAAGGGGCAGTGTGTAAGATTTAGGGGGATCTATTGGCAGAAATGATATTAAACAGCATGTTCTCATTGGTGTATGATGTTCACATCTACATAGGGAGCAGGTCCTCTTCCAATAGAGGCCTCCATGTTGCGCTGCCATGTTTCTACAGTAGCCCAGAACGGACAAACCAAACACTGGATCTAGATTGTGCCTTTTGCATTTTTAAGTTGAAGTAGCATCTTGAATTTGGTGGTGCTTTAGCACCGGTTGGAAAATGCAGAAAGAAGAAGAATCAGTGGTTGCTGCCTGTGCTGGCTAACCATTTTGTGTTGTGAGAAGTTTGAGGACCCTAATTTTGACAAATGGTGGATCATACTTACTGTTTACCCCAGGAAAAACAAAGGAGGGTGAATCCTCAACATCAAAGAAGCAAAAACATGACACCTGTTGGCCACTGTAGGTTCTACTACACGTTTGGAAAAGGAGGAGTGAGGAAGGAGGATTCAGTTACCGCTAGATGCCACTAAGTCTTGGAGACATGAATGACTGCTGACACAAAGAGCTGTGAAATCCAGTTGTAAAGATTCAGTATAACAGCAGCCAGTTAAATTAAAACTAACACGTCTTTTTGCTTCACATCACTGGTTCACAACAAACCAGTGATGCCTATCAATGCGTTTTTATGACAGATGTCAAAGGGCCCGTTTACACTTTGCACTAACAAGTAAAACAGAAACATATGGAAGCCGTTTCTGTCACTTGGGGGGAAAAAGGCCATATAGCATAAGATGTGTCCAATAGTAATAAGAAAGTTTCTCAGAATTATGACTTAGTATGTCAGAATTATGACTTAATTAATATTACGTCAATATGAGATACCAGAATTTTGCGATGCTAAGTCATAATTACATACTAAGTCATAAATCTGAAATGCTGTCATAATTATGATACTAAGTTTTGATTATGATATATTAAGTCATTATTATGAGATGTTAAGTCAATTATGAGAGACTAAAACTTATTTATGAGATTATAAATGACAATTTTGAGAGAGGAGATAGGAGTTTATTATTATGAGCCATAAGTATGAGATGCTAAGTCATAATTATGAGATTATAAATCATTAATATGAGACAGCATTTCATTATTATGATATACTACATCATAAATATGAGATAAATCATAATAATGAGATAGCAAGTCATAATTATGAGACAGAAACTCACTATTATGAGATAGTACATCATTAGATACTAAGTCATAATTGACAGAAATCATAACTATGATAGCAAGTCATCATTATGAGATAGTAGGTTATCATTATGAGATAGTAGGTCATTATTATGAGATAATATGAAATTGCAAGGTGTGAACAGGTCAAAAGGTCCTTGTGAACGCAGCCTTAAGGACTCATCTAACAGGTTGTGACAGTGTCTGATGTTTAGAACATGATTTCAAGTGTCAGACATAACAGCAACATCATTCTGCCAAGGACAAAAGCATCAGCAACAACACTGAAGCAGGACTGTTTATGTGATGACAGAAGAGAAACAAGGAAAAACATGTGGCAATGTAATTGTAGGAAAGCACAACATTTTAACTGATTGTCCAGCCATAAAGCTGTGGAAATGTTTATTTTAAACTCTTATGAAGTCTGGTATCGCCCTTATCCTGATGACAGTCATAACCCTGTTTTATGCTCAAGACTCCTCTTTTGCCATTTAGTTTTATTTCTAAGTCAATAGCAAAAAATAAACTCATATTTGTTTGTTTGCAAAAGCCAAGACTTAGTTTGACTCTAATGCTTTGCATAATGTCACAGTATTACAAAAATGACTCTTTAGCACAAAACCTGATCCTTCAGAGCAGTAAGCCTGAGTGCTGTGGTCTGAAGATCTGCCTGTTAGTCTTTTTTATTCTCTGCTCTGGATAGATTTTATGTTTCAAAGTAGTCAAACAATTGGTTCAGCACACACAGTGCCTATTTCCAACATGCACTGGATGCATAAATATGGATGCATGACAATGTGCTTGTTTACCTACCTGTTTTTCCCTCCTGTATGAAAGTGTACTTCCTATAGCTGTACCTAACAGCCCACATTAAAGGGGAAATGCCACTGATTGTTCATCATTTCTGCATATTTCAAGGGGTGAGATATAAACAATGTCATTCGGAGTGGTTTGAGATGAAATGGTTCGTTGTAGAGAAACTGGCAGACTCTGATTTCTTTACAGTGGTGTTGATGGAACCAGGTGTCCTGATATCTACAACATAAACATAGCTATTTTATTTAATATCCAAAACCACCAGTGAACCAACATGTTTCTGAGCTTTTATATGTAATGTTGTTGATGGTAAAATAGTGATAAATCGGAAAAAAATAAGCTTTCTTTGCCGACTATTTTGCCCAATTATGCCATGTATGTACTTGTAATAGAATTTTAGGCCAAAATCTCATCACAAAACTACTGGAAAACGTGTCTCATAGTCTTCAGATGTCTGGTTCCTATTACCACTGCTTTGAACAAATCTGACTTGGTACGTTTTCTTAGAACTGAGCAATTACAGCCAAGCCACTCTGAACTATCTACATTTAAATATGAAAAAAATTGATAAAAAATTGTGAATTTCCCCTTTAATGTAACCCACATATCTGTGGCAGTCAAATGGCCGCTGAGAGTATGTACACAACACAGTTCCTGCTACTCCTGAACAACCCCAGGAAAAGGAAAAGCAGTACAGCAGTTTTCCTATTGGTCTGAAAAAAAATAATTCAAGTGTTAAAGGGCTAATATCACGGAAAAACTAAGTAGTTTCCTTACTTTTCTGGGGGGAAAAAAGGCAACACGGTGTCATTAATGCAAAGCACCAGCATGTAGTTCCCCAAAAGTCCAAGAAAGTATGCAATCTCACACATCCACACTGCTCCACAGACTTGGCTAACACAAGGTTGTTTTCACTCTACTTAGAGTAGCTCCCCCTTACAAGCCCGGTCCTCGAGGTGCTTTGTATCTAAAAGAGCTCAATATACTACAATCACTCCACATTCCATATAGTCCATGTGTGGAAACTCAGCAACCCATTTTGAAACCAACATGGTTGTGATGTCACAACCATTAACATGCTTACTTGGAACTGATTAAACCTGTTTTTTCCAGCCAAGAAGACCAGAAAATCTACATCTTCTTACTTGAAGCCTGAACATAGTCTGCCAGACTAGTTCTGGTAGTGATGTCACAGTGCTAAGAGATAAAAGTTTGCACTTATAGGAGACTCCCACTGACTTTTCAAAAATTCTGCGTAATTCAGTGATTGGTTTGACGTGAAAAGATCCGTTCTATGGAAACCTAAATGCCTCACAGCAGTGGTGAGACGTCTGAAGAGTACAATGTCTCTAGAAGTTCCCCTTACAGAAACGTATTACATCAAATGGTTGTGATTAAACTGTCTGCTCATTAAAATATTGTTTTATAATAGCTTTACTATAAGATTTGTTTTTTAAATGTATTTTTCAAAATCCAACCATGGCAGAATAGTACATGCAGTGCACACTGTGAGGCAAAATAGTACCCCGAAAAAATACATATTCGCTGGTGGTTTTTGACAGGAAATAAAACGGCTATATTAGACATCGCGATATGAAATTATCTAATTTTGTTCTGGAATTATCTAGAAATTTGCAGAATTCCCCTTTAAGGCAACACTGTTGTGTAGGCTATAATTAAAAAAAGGACTATTTAAATCACAATTTTGATATTAAATGGTTCGTCTTTCAGCCTCAGTCATTAGGGATAAAGAAAGCATCAAAATAGTGCTGTGAAAATGAGTTTTGGTGCATGAACGAACAAAAAAAAAAAAATAATATCTTACTCCATTTACTCACATAATGTGAAGGATAAGTATTCTTTTCACGAGAATGAAAATCCTTTAATGGCATGCGCGCAGACACACACACACACACACACACACACAGACACACACTATATATCACTAGATTATATCTTTCTAATTCCTAGCACTCGCTTTCCATAGAACCAAATCTTTAAAGGACAGAAGCAGTGGGTTGTCTAAGAACATGGACACGTGACAACTATAATAATGTAATCAGAAAAAAAACAGCAAGACAGCAAGATACAAAAAGCAGATTTATGTTTCCACCAAATATTGGCTTCTTTATAAGTTAATTGATTATTATCTGCACCCCCACAAACTTACTGAGAAAGATCAGGGTTAACAAAGAGAGAGAAAAGTCTGTTAACAGGTTTCGGGTATATGAGAACTCACATTCAGGCTTACATAAAGATCACATAACCGCACTGCCAGCACATCTTATTGTGTTATGAACATAAGCACGAAAAACATAAATAAATAAAGCCAGAAAGAGACTTTCACAAAAACAAGGACGCATGAGTAAATCCCCGGAGAAACGACCATTTCAGATTCAGCCTCCTATGACGCTGCCACTTGAGTTAATGGTTCCTGAAGGTACTCCACCAGAGCCTCAGCCTGAAAAACACAGAAGATTTTCAGGCCAGGGCCAACAAATAACCATCGTACGTTTCTGCTTTTTAAACTGAAGAGATAAACAAGACTTATGCTATCATTAATGCAAAGCTTTGATGAAAATTCAGATTCACAAACGTAGCTTCTCTGTCAAGATATGTCTCAAGTCTGCTTCTTTGCTGCAGGCCTTAAAATGCCTCAAACTGTATGGAACTGTTAAATTTTGGGGATTTGGATGTGTAATTACACGCAACGGGCAGAAGAACATTTTGTAACGTGATTTGTGCCTCAGTCTATGTGTCCGAGCAGACGAATCTGATGATTGAAAGAGGCTTCAAAGAGAACTCAGTCAAAAGTTGGTGAAGGACAAGTGTTCTGAGGATGTGAATGAATTTATCAACTGTTCTCATCACATCTTCAACAATGTTATGTTGATTTTGCATTTGAGACCTAAACATTGAGCCAGACCTTCTTTTTGAGAGAGTGTGTGATGTCAACAGGTAAAGACGTATGACACGGTCTGAAAAAACTGACGCCAAATCCGACCCAACACCCCTGACTTTTTTCGGCTACGTTCACATTACAAGGCTGAAGTGCCACAAATGCAATTTTTGCGTTTCAAATCGGACACGTCTGATTCGTGAATGGTCTGAATGAGAACACTCAGATCGGAATTCATTTTTGTTTCCTTCATTGAACATGTGCCACAATAATGCCAGCAAATGGGGCAAACCTCACACATTTGACCTGTTTTTGCCTTCATTTTGCTCTTATAATGAACAGTTGAGAGCTGTTCCGAAGAAATGATCTTCTCCCTAAGTTACCAAGTAGAATGTACGCTTGCAGGTCATTACAGGACACGGGTTTATTCACATTAATGACAGTCACAAATGTGTACTGTCCTGTTATTAATATCAGATTGGCGGAAAAAAAAAATTGGAATTGAGCGGGGTATTCTTAAATTATTATTTCAGGCTTACAGGGCGCTTCACAACCTATTTTAGCGAGCGTTTTCTCCTGACTCAGTAATGCTACTTTCAATTTTAATAAAAAAAAATCTCTCAAACTGACTTGCTTATGCGGTTTCTGACATTATCACATACTGTCATCTATCACAAAATGGACAACCACAGAGCTAAAAACTGTAGTAGCAGCCACACTGAAGCTTGAATTTTGTCTGCACTCCTGTTCATTTACATAGATAACAGCAGGTTATACAGTGTCACAACAAACCACACAAGCAAGTCTATTTGAGATTACGTAATAACTGTACAGTCTGAAGCAATGTGTGATGCAGTTTGCACTATGCTAATTGGTGGGGTAAAAGCTTCTATTATTCTTAGCCCTGTAGCTCTAATGCAAACCTAAAGAAGCCAATTTCAGACATTCACTGTAAATGTGAATAAAGAAAGTCATATCACTGGTTGGATGATTCTATTTTTGCCTCTTTGTACCAAAGAAAGATGACAGAAGGCAGCTGATAATAGTGGATCAATAAAGAAATTACAGCGTACCTTTATCTTATCGAAGAAAAATAAAATACATGGTGACATTAGACAGTAAAGCAACATAAGGCGAAATTTCCTGAAGAGTATCCATAAAATTAAACAAAACAGCAAAAAGAAACTGCTCAACATTAAAGACTGTAAACTCAACCCATATTTCTAAGAAATCTTTTACAGATGAGCCATTGAGAGTTTTATTCAGAGCTTATGGAAATGTAGCCTTTTACGCGCAGTTTCATTGCAATATTTTAGTTATTTGCTTAAATTTAATTCAAAAACCTGACTAGTGCGCATCTTACCTTTGCTTTCAGCATCCCGAAGCCCACAGTCTCCTTGGCGTACATGCACAGTAATAAGTTTGCGACGCGGGTAATGGCCACTCTGCCCTCCTGTAATCACAAGAATATTGTTTCTGTTCGTTGTCCAGCCAAAAAACAACCAAGTCATTTCAGTAATCTCAGTGCTGAAACTACATACACTGATTAACATTTTATTGAACACAATATTTTAAATCACCCCCCTCAACTCTGCAGGGAATGCCTAACACACAGATCTCATTGAGCCTTGGTCTAACAGCAAAACCCTAAAACTGTCTGAGTTGTAATTAAAGAGGTTCTTTCTTCAAGTTCTCCTATTATAGTGCTCATTGTACTGCAGTATCCTTACTGAATTATCCTGTGCGTCCGTAAAAAGGAAAGCTGGTGTTACATTACACAAGTTCTCCCCCGATTACAGCCACATTTCCCAATCAGGGCCTGTTATTTTCCAAATATTGGGGAAACTAGAGTCGATGGTTTGCACAGAACAGTATGCAGAAGACCACAGACTCCAATTTCTTGCCTCCGAGTCTAGTTTCATGCCAGCATGTCAAATATCTTTGATTTTCTCAACTGGAATCTGGATATAATTTGGATATAACCAGCGAATGCTTGTCAATGGCTCAAATCTCCACTGATCCCCTCAATAGCCAACAAAAACTAACAGCATGCCCTATGGGAGAGCACGTATTTTCATGTAAGCTTGGTATGTTCAGTTTAGCAGGTTAGGCAGTTATCCCCAAATTTTCCCTAAGTGTTTCTGCTTTTAAGGTGTTTTTCCTGCCACCCTCGGAGTGTTCATTATGGGTCTGAACCTGGATTTCTGGAAAGCTGCTTTGGGATCATTTTGGCAGCAATAAGCACTATACAAATAAAACTGAATTGTAGCTCTGCCAGATGGGCTATTTTGTTCCCATGTGTTTAGATCATCACACTTTGTGTCAAGCTTTCCTGATTAATCACTCTTGGAAGCTACAGACTAGGAAGTTTTTATTACTGTATTTCAAAAGCATAAACACTAAGAAAGCAAAACACCAAATCACAAACTGTTTAAGGGGGTATGAGGGAGAAAATTAAGTATATTTGCTGTGACATTTCTGCATAACCTAAGCTGTTTTAGTAAAAGAGTACCAAATTCACAGAATACCCGACTACTGACAATGACTACAGAAACAACAATGATACAGGACCATTTTAATACATGCTGACATTTTTTAATTTGTTTTTGGCTTTGGCAATAGATAGAAAACAATATTCTATCTTTAGCTACTGGGTCTCGATTCAAGAGGTCCTTAAGGAACATCTTTTGGCCACATTTGGAGCCACAAATTCAAAACATGCACATGAGAAATGCTGGTACACTGCTAAAGAACTGAAAGCTTGAGGTAACTGCAGATAGCAAGTGTTGCTGAGAAGTGACTGGAGGACTAAGAAAATAAACTAGTACAACAACAAAGCTTGCAGAAAACATTTATATTGTTAAAAAAGGCAGTGTTTGCAGTTAAAATATTTTAATTTGATTTACAAACAAGCATTGCCTATATTTATAAGCAACTGACTCATCTCAAACCTCTCTGGCAGGCCTGGATGTGTGGGTGTGTGTGTGTATAGAGCGGCTTGGGGTCTTCTCAGGGAAGACTGAGCCTGTCCATAAAACTATAGGTAGGATATTTAAATAACCTAAATGACCTTAACAGAAAAAGCTACCTGTATTAAAATAAAAAAAAAAACTAAGTTACTATACTACTACTAGATAATTTTACTCATGTGCCACAGACTCCACTCCTTACCATGCAGTCCATGAGAATAAACTTCAGTTTGTCCTCATTGAAGGCTTGATGCCCATTTTTGTCATAGGCTGCCCAGATGTTGCTGGCGATTGCTGCAGTTACTCGTGCGTCCGTGTCCCCATAGCCGGAGTAAGCCAAGAGTGACCCTTCATTATTCAGTAATCTGACACAGAAACAAACCAAACCAAACCAAACAGAACAGAAACAGAGAGCATCAAAACCAAGATAATATAACACAGTTTTAATATATATATTTTGCTTAACAAAAAACAATTTAGCCTCCTCTGAACCTAAATGTGAAATACACTATGTGGCCAAAAGTATGTGGACACCCATACGAGCTGGGTGGATATCCCATTCCAAAATCATGGGGGTTCATATTAATATGAAATAATAATACATAGACAATGTTTGTCTATCGAGATTATGGTTATGTGCTTAATTTTATCCACCTGTTAGCAATGGGTGTGCCTGAAACACCTGAACTCAATAAATAGGAGGGGAGTCCACAAACTTTTGGCATGTATGTGTTAATACCAGTACTTAATAACAAACTTCATATATTCCGCAATTTATTCGTTTTTGGAGCTTTTGTCCCCTCAGCCATGGTCCCAACAGAGACAGAGCTGAGAGGCTCAGCAGTGGTTTGGAAAACTGCAACGGAAAATTAGAATAAGAAGCCAATTTCAGCTTCGAGCTCAGTTAACTTCCCATTTTGATAACAGTGGCCGTTAAACTAACCCAGTTCATAATACAACAAACCTCAGGCATATTTATTAAACAGACAGCATTAAAATCTTCCTCTGAAATTTCACTCTGAATAAAACTAATCACAAACATCCCATCGGTAAACTAACTGGCTAACTGCTAAGCTAGTTAGCCGGCTAGCCGAAAGATTTCAAAACCTGCTGCTAAATCTTGTCTGATACTTACAGCGTGCTTTGTACTCCACTCGTGTTTGCCTGACTGAGAACTTGGGTTAGCGCTTTTGGCCGTAACATAGTCGTGGCGAGAAAAATAAAAGGTTTACACGCCCAAAACTGTTACTGAAATCTGGACTTTAACAACTGGCCTGAACTTACACACACATCAGCTGACACCGACTTCCTTAACGGAGGGGCGAAAGGGACTGTGGGAGTTGTAGTTTTAAAGGGAAATCGCTCTGCAGCTACTAATAATGACGTTTCTCTGGCGTGATTCATTCCAGGAACTAGTATGTGCACACATAACTGGTTTACATCAGGTTCTCGGTGAACTAAAATGTCAAAGCAGACTTTAAACCTACACGGGACACAGAGATCACACAGTAGTAGATGTAGGTTTAGAACCAAAGTGAAGTAATGGTCATAGTAGTCTAGTACTTCAGTACTGCAGTGATAGTAGTTCTTAAATTTGGTCTCTCCTATTAAAGGGCCCATATCCTACATTTTCTTTGCCTTGTCCGCTTGTGACATTTGTGTGTGTTTATGTATCAGAATGTATTTGGAATGATTCACTTATAAACTTATTCACTATTCACTATCTAGTGTTTACCATACAGTGAACTGGCTGGAGAATAACCATATTATTTGTTGAGATCACAGCTGTAATCATAATTCATTTGTTTCCAGTCTCACTTCAGTCCAGTTTTGTTGCAGCGTCTTCTTTAAGGCTGATATATGTAAATGAAGTCTGGGGGCATTTCACAAAGCAGGATCTGGCCAGATAATTAGGCCCAAAGTTCTCCATATTGTGCCTCATAAAAAAGCTGTCCGGGCTGAAACACTTCTTATAACTTCAGCATGAATGGGTGGAGCTAAACTGTGTAGGCTGAATTGGGAGTTATGTGCATTGTTTTCGGTCACATCACAAAACTAACATTAAATACCAAAAGGTTTAGGGATAATAATATTGAAGGCCTTCTCATTTGTTTCCACATTACATGTGTAATTGAGACCTTATGCCTTGCAGTGTTGAGTTATGTGGGACTAAAAGGTTTGGGTAAAATATCTCATTGTGATTTTTCAGGCCAATATTGCGACTGTTATTATTTTCCATAATTTGAGATCCAGCCTAATTTTTTCCCAGCAAGACCAGCATAATCACTGGGTGTAGTATGATGGCGTGCTAGTTAATTGTGGTTGTATAGTCATGCACACAGCACACGGGTGTGTGGTTGCTCTTGATTTGTACACAGAGCCATGAAAAGGGAAAAAAGTATTTCCTCCCCCCTGCTCTGGATTTCCTCTATTTTTGCGTATTTGTCACACTAACTGGTGTCATATCCTCATACACAAGGTAAAACAAGGCAAATATGAGGAAACACAAAACGGACTTCATTTCATTTAGTGAAGTAAAAGTAAAAAAAAATATCATGTCTTATAACTGGAGATCAATATTTTACATCACTGTGCAGGAATTTCGTCCCTCTCTGCAAAACTGCTTTAATTCAGCCAGGGCTTTCAAGCATGAACTGCCTGTTTAAGGTCCTGCCACAGCATCTCAATAGGGTTCAAGTCAGAACTTTGACTCGGACACTTCAAAAATGTTCATTTCGTGTCTTTTGAGTCATTCAGAGGTGGATTTGCTCTTGTGCTTCAGATCGTTGACTTGCTGCATAACAACCATGAGCTTCAGATCACAGACTGATGTTCTCCTGTAGGATTTTCTGGTGGAGAGCAGAAGTCATGGTTTTATCAATTATGGCAAGTCACACAGTCTCTGAAGCAGCAAAGCATCCCCACACCATCACACTACCACCACGTCTGGTACGGTGTTCTTATTGTGGAATTCTGTTATAACGGTTCCACTTTCGAATCATACAGTCCACAGAACATCAGCGGGGGCAGCGGAGGGGCCGCGGGGGGGGTAGGGGGTCATAATGTTTTTTGGCAAATGTGAGATGAGCCTTTATGTTCCTTTTTTTAGCAGTGGTTTTTGCCATGCAGCTCTCCCAAAGACACTGCTTTTGCCCAGTCTCTTTCTAATAGTGGAATCATAAATGTTGACCTTATCTGAGGCAAGTGGGGCCTGCAGGTTCTTAGATGTTCGTCTACGTTCTTTTGTCACTTCCTGGATGAGTAGTCACTGTGCTCTTAGAGGTATGTTGGTAAGCCGTCCACTTCTGGGAGGATTCACCACTGCTCCAAGTTTCATACATTTGGAGATAATGGCCCTCACAGTGGTTCACCACAATCCCAGAGCCTTAGAAATGGCTTAGCAACTCTTTCCAGACTGATCTATTTCAATAACTTTCTTTCTCATCTCTTTTGCAATGTGCTTCTTCTTGAGACCTTTTAGCCTACTTTACATTGCTGAAAAGGTTCTATTTAAGTGATGTTTATATTCAACACAGATGGCAGTAATCAAGCCTAGACATGTCTAGTTTAATTGACCCCAATAATTAACTAAATCTCAAAGGGTGCTACTACTTCTTTTGCATATGGCCAGTTAGTGTTGGCTAACTTTTTCCCCCTCAACAAATGAAGTGATCATTTAAAAACTTTGTGTTTACTCAGGGTGTCTGTATTATAACCCCTAATGTAAACTATTAATAATATGATGGTTCTGGAGATTTGAAAACTGCACTGAAATTTCTATTTTGATATAAAAATGATTAATCTTTCATCCCTGAAATTGTGCCAACATTTCATAATGCTACACCTTTGATCACTCCATGTTCAATGTGACACTGCTCTTACTTAAACCATTACCCAGAATTCCACTAGGGATGTTACAAAAAGTGGAAATGGGATAATAATTAACCAAATAAGAAGGTCAAATGGTGCATCATGGACTAGAGAGAGCATATTGGTATCAAAGGGAAACAGCAGAAAACGCTAAATGGAAAAACCAGAGGAAACAGAATGAATCTGATTCAGTAACAAATCTAACCTAAAATAGTCCTCAGTCACACACTGTCAAGTGAGTAGTAACGCATCTAAGCAGTCTGAGCATGACAGCCTACTTTCAGTTGTTAATTTTCAAGTCCTTCTGTTAAAAAAATAACTCATTCTAAAGCTTAATAGCTTTTAAATATGAAACATTGGATCAGTGTCCATATCAGACGATATTTAACTTTTCAACATCTCTACTGGAAAGGAAAAAGTGGTATCGTCATCTCCTTCTTGAACCCATCCTACTGGTTTATGAAGAAGCCTGCCTGCAAGAGTTCAGACTTTATGAGACCTTCCAGCACAAAGCAATCCCAGACAGTAAAAGTGGAGAAACCTTGAATGAACAGAATGATGCAGGTGGTGTATCCAAGCTGCTATTAATGGCTAATCTGTCTCATCACTCATTACCCAGGTTTAGACATCAGGTAAGACGAAGGTACTTGATCCTGGTCTTGGAATTCTACCAACCTGCAGAGTTTATCTCCAAAACTATTCTTACAGGCCTTTAGGGACATCTCAAATTTAAAGCCAGGTGTGTCGGATCTGAACTATCAAAGGTGGTAGATCTCCAGCACCAGGAATCATCAGCCCCGGGATTAGACAGAGCGAGCAAGAGAAAGCTTTTTCAATGAAGGCTTCCACAAGTACACTTCATACACACTGCTCACCACACAACAACCTTTTTTTTTTTCCTTCAATGTGTTTAAAACAATGTCACTGTTAAAGATGAACCAATGACCTGCCAACTTGCTTTGGCTTGAGGAAAAAAAAAAGAACAAAAAAAACATACCAACTCAAGTATGAGTTCAGATTATTGCAATGTAATTAATCAAATAAGATGAGAGAGTGGATTATGAACGTGCAGCAAAAAAGCAAAGTTGAACACATTTTAATTCACATCAAAACTCAACTGTTAGTTCCATTAGATTGCTGTTGGTTAGCACTGAGATTGGTGCACAGAAAAGCTAGCATCAACTTTCATGCTGTTACCAGATTCACTGGCAGATCAACTGTATAGGATGACGTATCCAGTACACAATGCCTTCCACGCACTAGAGTACTTCTATGTCAAAGCATAAAGATATGGTCAAAACAAAAAAAATGGTGTCTGCTTTCGGCGTTGCTCGTAAGCTGAGAAGTATTTTATTGATGCCTTGTTACAACCTTTCCCCATAACCACCAGCTTTTACCGGCAAAATCATTCACACTCCCCCTAAAAGGTAAAAGACTAAAGAGATGACTGAATATCTTGAATCTCACTCCCAGAAGCTCATTTCCTCTCTAAATAGCTGAAGAGTAAGCGATCATCTGCGTGAGGTTGTTATAAATGCTCAAACAGGGATTTCCAACATCTTCCTCTATTAGATTTCAATTAACAATGTCAAATGAGAAGGATGTCTTAAAGCACTGTGAATCGTGGAGGCGCGGTACAGGAATAAAGGGTAACTTCTACATCGTCTGCAATAAATACTGGTTTAGTCAGGCTTGACTTAGGAGAGACAGAAAATTTTTAAGTAAACTGACCATCTTCATGAAAGACATGGGTTCCTCTGTCTTAGTATATCTTCTGTATTTTTTCCCCTACTCCCGAAATCATGAAAGTAGTGCCTCAAGTGAGTATGTGTCAATTATAAGGAATGGTAAGCTACACTTGGTTCATAGAAGCATTGTCCCATTTTATTTGGGGACGCACGCAAACGAAAGAGGAGAGGGGTTAGCCTGATGTTAATCCACTGTGATCTCATTTTTGCTTTATTGGTCTAAGGAAAAAAATTTGAAAACCCCAATTTCCTAAGATTCTCAGATCAACCGAGTAAAAGAGAGAAGTAATTGGAATTCAGTCTATTAACGGGGGGCTTGTCAGATATTATGTGGTGAAGGACTGTGTTCATGTCTCGTTTCTCTGCTTCGCTCCCGGGCCCCGGCATTTCCTCCTGGTGCGATTAAGAGGGCTGTGAGCCAAGCAGTCTTTCGATGGCGGCGTTGATGTCGCCCCCTGTAGCGATGAGGGCCTGCAGGTTGGCCTCTCTGTTGATGAAGCCCATTGCGCTCAGCTGCTCCAGCTGCTGCTGGAAACGCACCTCCGGAGTCTGGGTCTGCATGGTGAGGTGAAAAAGGAACAGTTCAGAAACCAAAACAGCAACATGAGGACACCTGTCTCTACCTAGACTACACTAAAATGCTAAAACAGCTGAAATAGGGCATGAAACTGGGCATTATGCAATTTTTGGACTGTAATTCAAAGCTACACTATTTAAGATTTGAGGATTTGGAGACCTCTCTGGTGGAAATATGTAACTGCATGTGATGTTAATACGAGCGGAGCGAAAAACTTCTGTGAAATTCTACAAGACACCTCAGATATTTTAATTATTGTAAGCTTTACAGGGAGACGCACAAGAACAACTCTCAAAACAATGTTTTAGCCTGCCTTTTTCCTCCGGACTCAGCAATGCTACTTCTTTCAAACTTAATTTAAAAAAACTTACATAGCGCAGATGTTTTTTGTAGTGATCTTGGCTTTAAATAGGTTTTTGACTAAAGGTGTGATGTATAACTGCAGAAATTATTGGGACTCAAGCAGCTGATACTCCATCTCATGTTAAGCCAAATGATCACATCTGAGTGAAACTGTATATGGAAATGTTTCAAGTAAAAAGATGATCAAAGCTGTATTGCTCTGTAGGTTACACACTGGTAGTCACACACACCTAACATTAACAAAGACAAAAATCACAGATCAACTGAGCCAAATGAGGTACGGATCAACTTTTGTGCAAGCAGCACACAAAAATACCATTTGCTTAAAAATCCAGATATTCAAATATCAAAAAAAGTTAAAAAGCCCATCTATATCAGCCACATTTACACAACTCTGTGCTTTCCTATTTAGCAATTCAAACTAATGAAAACTGTACCGATGCGCTTCCTCCGGCAAACATCTGTAACATCTGCTGCATGAGCTGCTGTTGGGTGGGGTTGGTTCCAGCAGCGGGGGTGGAGCCCTGTCCAGAGGAGGGAGGCGGAGGATTCTCCGGAGTCACATTAACTCCCGTGGGAATCCCACCGGGCATCCCACCAGGAAACAGACTAAAACAGAGGGGAAAAAAAAGATACTCAGTTTAGCCGCAAACAAGTTCTTGAGCGCTGCATTTTCTTAAAACTGCTGTATTTAGAGACACAACAAACAAGGAAAGCCTTATTGCAAAAGGCCAAGGCATAAGCACATTTTTACAGGGGAAAAAAAAGGTCCACTTGTTTGTCATGCATCACCAAAAAGGAAATAACTTTTGATAAAGAGGATGTGCTCTGGGAATTCCCACACCGCATTGTATGTGACATTACCGAAACACTGACCAGTTTCTTAAAGCTAAAAGATACGTACCTTGGCATTAGTCCTGGGGCTTCAGTCTGGAGGGTCTGCAAGCCCTGCTGGATCTGCATCAGAGCTTGCATGGCTCGTGGGTTTGTCATCACAGAAAGGGCTTCAGGATTCTGCATCTGAAAAAATTAAGAGTAAGGTTTAAATTTGGAATACAAAAAATAACATTATTTAAAAAAAAAATAATCCTGCGTAGACTAAAAAACTAACAAAAATAAAAAGCACAACTACTAAAAAAAAAATAATGAGTTCATCACAGCTGCTCTGTCTGTGGTTATATCATTTGACCAACTGAAGTTCAGCCAAAACCAGAATGTTTGTGTTTCACTGAGTTTCCATGTAGCAAATATAATGTAGATAGAACAGTATGGAATTTGTATATTTCATGAAGTCCCCCTACATTGAGCTATTCCAATCTTTAACGAGGTGTGATTCCGTTTAACAGGGTAAAAACATTTTTATCTAAACATTTTAGCAAACCCACCTGCTGTAGAAACACAGGCAACTGATGTCTCATCTGCTCCTGTAGCTGGGGGTTTCCAGCAAAAAGAGGGTTGTTCAATAACACCTAGGGGAGCAGAGCAAATGCAAATATTAATAAATATGACAGTGCCAAGGACAACTAAAGCATTTTCATTTCCAAACATGAAAACATGACATACTGTAGGGAAACGTCGAAGTTCACATTTGTGTAACTCTAATCGATGGGTATCACCTTTCATTAACAGCAAGGTTAGCCTTTTTAGTGAGACACTGGTCAGATTTTCCTTAAAATAAACAATGTGCCACACCTGTGAAGCAATCTCAGGGTTTTGGGCCAGGGACTGCATCATGCTGCGCATGTAGGGAGCAGAGAGCATGTTCTGCATCAGCTGGGGATTCTCCGAAATCTGCTGCATCAGACTCTGCATGCCAGGACTGTTGAATATACCTGTCCGGGAGACGGCACAAAATAAATAAATATTAGGGAACCGTTTACCTAGAATTGCTAACCATGAATGAAGGCTACTGTGAACCAGTTAAAAGTCAGTCCCTAGTAGCGTTAATGTTTAAAAAAAGTTAACATTTCTCATGGAGTCTCACAAGGTTCAGTTTTAGGGCCTTTGCTTTTCTTTTCGTACACATTACCTCTAGGTGATGTGATGAGGAAACATACTAATTTTTATAGCTATGCTGATCACACGCAATTATACATTTCCCTTCCATTCCTTCTAATTCCATTCCTAGAGATGGACCGCTCAGTGTTTTTGGGGCCAATACCTTTTAGCATGATCGGCCAACAGATGATACCGATCAAGGACGGTGCTGGATGCCGCATTTAAAGGTGCAGAAGCCTCTCAACAGCAAAACGAATACATGCTTACTTTTTGTACTTAACCAAATATAATTTAAACTATTTTATCTGTGCCTAAGAGGCCTACCCAGTACTCAAGACAGTGGATTAGCATCTTGTGATCAACGGTATCAAAAGCCGCACGAAGATCCAATAAGACCAGAATAGAAGGAACAGCCTGAGGTCACAGACAACATGAACCAATGCTTATCGGTACTATGGTTAGAACCAAAACCTGACAAACTTTTATTACACACCTTATTGCTTTGAAACTTTAATAACGTTTACATATTACATCAAAGTTTTATATTCTCCATGAAAAGGTTCTCCATGATATTGACTTTTTAAAAGCTGTGAGCAACCAACTATGCTGATCATTGTTTAAATTATGCTCATGCATTTCAAGCTAGCCCCGGTCAGGCCATTTGTGTTTGTTAACTTGGGCTAATAACATGTGGTAAACGTAAGTAAGGAGACTAAGCTGCAATATTTGTTAAATTAGACCGCATTTTTCATTGTATACAGACTAAAACCTTATTTATTTACAAACGCATGGTGTGCTCGATGGGTCATGTCCATGACTAATTGTTAACCAACAAACCTATTTACTGACCTAATGGTTGTCGGTCACAAGAATTTGTCAAAATATGCATTTAGCACGTTATTAGATGCTAACAACAAATCACTAAATTAGAAGACGCACTTCTATCTGAAACCATTAAATATGTTAAGAGTTGTACACAATATTTAAACAGTTTACTTTTTGCCAGTTCTCAAACACCTCAGAAATGATAGGAGGTAGCTCAAGGTACCGTTGCCCAAGCTAGAGGAGCCGACACCCAAGGGGTTAGAGACACTGGGGGTGGTGGAGCTTGTAGTAGAGGTGGTGGTTGTGCCAGTGCCAGTGCCAGTCCCAGAAGAGGTGGTGTCAGGTGGACCCCATGGATTTGGCAGTGGCTCCCGATTCTCCGTCCTGGAGGGCTGGGCTCCTGAGCCGTCTGTGTTACCCCCCAAGGCAGAGAAGGGATTGTTTCCGAACTAAACAAAAAACACATGATATCATGTAATGATACTATGGTATCTTAAACAGCCTATTTGTTTGTTATGAAAATAATGTGAAAATCTAATAGTTTTTTTTAAACTTATTTTCTAGCTTTTAGCATTTATTGATTTCACAAATCACTCCAATATTTTTTGACGGAGCTTCTAAAACAACGTATTATGATATTTATTTAATTATTTATTTAAAATGTGGTGTATTCGGGTACAAAATCCACAGTTTCCTATACCTGCTCTCGTGCTGCGCTAAACATGGGCTCCTGGATATCAGTGTACATCCTCCGTAGAGCGTTGTATCCTCCGGGGATGCTCTCTAAGTTGCTAAGCGCTCGGTCTTGGTTACGCATCATCTCTTGCATCATGGCTGGGTTCCTTGCCAACTCCATTGTCTAAATAAGGATAAAAGGATTTACTTAATGTCATGTGAACTGCATATTTCCACTGAACATGCCAAAATCTTATTTTTTCCTTCAGCACACATCTTTAATGTTGCACTATTTGGGTTTAAGTAATAAAAAAATATGAAAAAGCAAACTATGTATTATTAACTGGTAAATGTGGTGCACAACAGGTGATACTGGGCTTTACACCACATGTTTCTTTCAATTCCAGGTAACAATAGAAAGGAAATTTTAAAGCTACTAGCACAAACAGGTAAAAGATTCATTAAGCAAAAGCTGAGCTCTCAATCTGCAGCTTCAACCAAAAAAAGCTTAATAACAACAAGACCACTCTTTCGCCTCATCCACCTGTCTCATTAGCTCAGGGTTGTTGAGCATGTGTGAAATCTCAGGGTTGCGCTCCATCAGTTGTTGCATCTGTGGATTAGCCATGATCATCTGCCTCATCAGGTCTGGATTGGACATCATGTTCTGAACCAGGGGGTTCTCCATGATCTGGGAGAGCATCTCAGGGTTGGACATCAGCTGCCGCTGCATCTGCTGCTGCAGCTCCATGAAGTTGGCGGAGCCCATGCCCAAGCCAGCCAGACTGGACAGGTCACCGAACCCAGCTGAGGAGAAACGTGGACAGAAACATTCAGCAAGTAAGCTAGAGGCAATCCTGTCACAGTACATAACATACAAGATAAAATAAACTAACCTATAGGATGAGATTCAAACTAATTATGAAATAAATAAATACACATACTTTCCTAGGCCAGCACTGAGCACACATACTGTGGTGGTTACTGAACTTGCCCTACAGGCAGGAATGTACTCAAACTGGAAAGTGACGACACAGAAAGAAAAAGAAAGAAAGAAAGAAAAAAAAACATCTAATATGTGCTTCCAATTTTGCTCACTGACTACCACAAGCTTTCTTTTTTATAGGTTTTATAGGTGCATTGAAAACTATTCATGGTGACATACAGATCATTAAGAAAGTCCACTGCCCAATTTTCCAGACCCTGCAATTCAAAGGGAGGTTTCTCCTTTCGTTTTCACTTTGAATTTATTCAGCAGTGTCTGCTGACCTTACTTGGCTCCCCTCCATGGCAGAAGAGGGAACTGTGAGGCTTTAAAGAATTTCAGAACCACTGTGCAGCTCTCAGATCTGAACCTTTAGCACTTTTCAAAAACAGCAATAACACACACTCACTGAATATGTTGGCTGGCTGCGAGGGGGCTGGCGAAGGCCCACTGCCCTGTGATGTGCCCAGGTTACTAGCTGAGCTGGGGTTAGCGGTGCCTGCATTGCCACTGTTTGCCTGTGTGGCACCGGAGCTGGATGGAGCAGCCGTGGAACTACCACCTGTGGCCCTGCAAGAGAAACTTAACTGAGTCTAGGCACATGATACATACTGTTAACACATAAATTAGGGCTGCAGGATATTTGTTAATTGTGATATTAGCCTCTGAAGTACTGAAACCGCTAAGCTGTGAGTCTCTTGACATCACAGTTTGGAGAGAATTCATATTCCAACAAAAGTAAATTACTTTGGACAAAATAATGCAGGCCAACATTTAATGATGTGAGATTATTCATTCACCAATACATTTAAAATATCACAAGACATCCACAAACGCAATACATAGCAATATAATCACAATCCTAGAAATCTGTCCACACTGTGCAGCCCTAGCATTAATATTTATGGTTTACAGGTGTTGGAGCACATGTGTGTAGGTTCAAAATTAGTGCAAGACATGCAAGAATCATGGGCATCTTACTTTTGTGCAGTTTTGATGACAAGGTGAACGGTGAGGCCATCCTTTATACCGTGCTGACTGAGCGTGTCTCCATCTTTCAGGATTTTACCAGCAAAGATCAACACTAACTGGTCCTGCTTTGCCTTGAACCTTTTGGAGATTTCTTCTTTGAACTATAAGTGAAGGGAAAATTACTGTTAAATGTTACATTCTCACAACCTGATTACACTGTGGCAATTATTTCCTTAAGTAATGGCACCCCCACCCGCTCAAGGTGAAGTAATAGGAGACCATCCCCCAGGATTTCACATAATAAACAGCCCTGAAAGCCTTCTAGGCCTTGGGTTTGTTTAGGCTGAACTAAAATGCTGTGTAATAACATTTTAACACATTTCCTAATTTAACTTTGTTTCAAGAGTATGACTTTTAATCAGGGTAAAAAGAACAAATGTGTCCATATCCAAATCTTAATGTGACTCATCTGTACAGAAAACATCTATAACACATAAGACTGTTGCAATACTCCTCTAATCAAAAATGTCAGATCTAAATGTGCATTTTGGAAATGATCATTTTAGTACATTTCTATGTTATCACTGAAGCACAAATCCAAACTGCTAAGATGTACACTTGTTGCCCTGAAACAGCTGTTGTGATAATGTGCAATAAAGTCAACAAATATCAGCCAAAACTTTTGCACTTTAAGACCTTTAGCACCGTCCATCTGCTTTCATCTAAGAGCCAAAACCTGCTGGAAAAAACTCCCACAGGAACTATTACAGGTTTCTGTTAGTTGCTATTGGTTTTGAAATGACGTCTGATCACATTGTGTTTTCTTGACGGGTTGATATCACAGTGTAAAAGATCCTAAAGGGTTAACCGATGACCTGTGACTGCCAGTAGATGCATTTGACTGTTTTCTAAAGGGACATAAAGGTGTTGTAACCAATTAGCCAATTCCCATTGGGGTTCTCATGAACATGACAAATACTGGGACCCAAATTAAAACGACTAAAACTTAATGTTTTCTTTTTTTGTAATATACAAGGACACCTCATTAAATAATTAAACTTGAATGATTTCATTTATATTAAATTGATTTTAGTAACATTTTCCTATTTAAGTGACCAAATTCTTTTTACTGAAACACAGTAAGGTCTGGAGATAAACCTCTAAATAACATTTTTCCCTACTTTTTTCCCCACAATATGCATACTGTTGTCAAATTAATCATTTTAAAGCCAACTGGTAAAACGCACTTTTCAAAATAGTGTTTCACTACTGTATTTCACTACCACAACACATTAACAGCTACTGAAATACTCTCATTCTAACTTGAGCCACATAGCGTTATTTTGGTTTACCTCTGTACAGTGAAGAGATTCAACAGCGGAAACATACTGGTTGTAGGCAAACTGATATAAATTGTAATGATAAATTCTGTCACAATTTAATTTTCTGTGCATATCCTGGACTGTCAGTACAAAATGAACCCTGACTACATGTTTCATTATAAAGTGATTATAATTAGGCCTGTTTATATGGATGTAGTGCAGCACAGTTTGTTAAACACTGAACAAGAACCTTTACAGTGTTAGGCTTATTATTATTATTAATTATATGTGCCAGAAAAAGTTGTTTTGTCTGTTCCAACTTATTACATCTCAAGAAAGTTACACATGATATTGTGTATTCTGAAAATGTCTTGGAGTATCGTGATAACATTTTTGCCACATGCCCCACCTCTAATACAAGATCATTTATTCTCATTAAAAAAAGAGAAAAACCGATAAACGTCAGTGTGAGAAACACATCTGGACACAGTCTTGTAAGGAAAATTAGGGTAAAAATTCAAAATAGAAAAATGAGCTCCTCAAACTTTTCATCTGTACTACCAGTTAAAGCCATCTACTGATCTACTGAGCGATACGAATACTGTTTACATGCATAATGCTTATGACACTCGTATGTGTGTGCACTTGTTTTGAAGCGGTTTCATGAGAACATCGCATCAGGAGTCAAGATCATCAGATTTTAATCCAAATGGTTTTGACTGTTTCTTTCAGCAGATGGTGGTGAATGAAAAACTGCACATTCTGACTGAATGTCACATCCAGTAACATTGGAGTCTACTGAGAAAACTGAAAATCACAATAAAACCTTAAACCATCTTTGTTTCAACTGAACACACAACAGCTTTTGTCTGTAAACTTGTAAAACGTTAACGTTACATCTACATCAGTACGACCACTTATGGTGAAACATCGACTACAACGACCTTAATTATCAGCCAAAGCATATACACAAGTTTTTTGGTGGGTAATGACTGCTTTAAGACCGTAAAACCGCTTACACGCCCATTATGGCAACATAAACAAACAAAAACGCGGAAAATGACTAAGAAAAAGAGCAGCCAGCTGAGCTGTACAGCTAGAACCTTCTCTAGGCGAGCGGCTCGGCTAACGTTAGCTTAGCTTAAGTTAGCTTAGCCCGTTCGTTATGCCGACGAATCGGTACGCAGGACAGTCAGCGCCCACTTTGACCAGACAAAATAAGCACATATGAAGCAAACCAGCCACATCTGGATACCATTAACACACAATAAGTGATAAAACAAGCTGAAAAAGCGCAATACTCGTAAACCGGAGTGCGTTTTATTACGAGAATACGCGCTGCCGCCATAGCCGGCTAGCGACACAGAGCCAGGCCGAATCTCTCTCAATCTCACTCAGGACTACTGAGATAATATCGCACGAGTCGCTTCTAGACGAACACACAACAAGCTAGAAAAGGTTTATGTGTGAAAATGGAGTGTTTAAACGCGAGTTATGAAGTGGTTTTTCCTCGGAAAATCTGCGCCGAGTACATCGTCGTCGTTTCGGGCTTAAAGCAGCCGATTCATGTCGGACAGCTGACTGACACACACACAAAAACACAAGCGCAGGGCAGCCGCCGCCGAGTACCTGAGAGACAGACGCGTCTTCGGATATCGCTATTTCTTCCTTGTCCTTGGGCGTTTTGACGGTGACCATGATGATGGTGCCGCCGGCGGCCGCATTTTCCTCGGATTTGCTCTCCACGGCGGGGTCCGCGCCGCTGTTCTCCGCCATCTTTTCTCTCCTCTCTCTTCACTTCATCACGTCACCGCGAGAAGAGCTGCGAGAGGAGCGGATCAGCACAGCGCCTTCAGCGGCACCGCGGAGGAACACCCTGGCTTAAAGGGGAAGCGCACCAAATGTTCAACATGCCCGCATACGCGAGCTGTTACGATGTAAACAACAGGGTTGGGCAGGGTACCTTAAAAAGCAGTGATGGCTGAATACTGAATACACTGTACTAAATGTATTCAGTAACGTATTCTGTTACAATACATAAACAGTAACGTATTCCGGTCACATATTAATAAGGCACATGGAATTTCTTTTTCTGTTCCTCGCTGTGACTGGTTGGCAGCTTTCTTCTTCTGTTTAAATGAAGTTCTGCAAATTCTCGACTTATTTCACTCTCTTTTTCTGCTTCTGTCCGCTGCTGCTCCCACAATCCCCCAAGAGTCCAGTACAACGCAGTGCAAACATGTTCACTACTGAGGAGATTATTAGTCTGATTATGTCTTTAAAAGAGCTCTGTAACACTTAGAGTAATAACTGATCATCACATTGATTTATCAGTCTACTCAGGCTTTAGCAGAGCCCAGTAACACTGAGATTAATAACTGATCATGTTGATTTATCAGTCTACTCAGGCTTTAGCAGAGCTCAGTAACACTGAGATTAATAACTGATCATCACATTGATTTATCAGTCTACTCAGGCTTGAGTAAAAAAATGTTGTAATGGTAATCCTCTGTGTTCTTCTAAATTTTCCTTTGTACTACTCAACTTTGTAGTCTGTGCTACAGGCGGTACCAGGTACCTTATCTGGAACAACAATGAATATTTGTGACCTTCGATCTCTCAGATGGCACTGCATGAAAAAACAGCATACTCCTGTGATAGATGTCACCACATGGGCTCAGGAATACTTTGACAAACCGTTGTCAATAAACACTGTTCATCGCTGCCTCCATGAAAGTTAAGACTGTACTATGCACAGTGGAAGTCAAATGTCAACAGATGTCAAATGTGCAAACGTATATTGTGGTCAGACAAGCCAAACTTTCAGATTGTTTATGGAAATAACAGATGTCATGTTCTCCGGTCCAAAGAAGTTCAGGACCATCCAGATTGTTACAAGCTCAAAAGTCAGGCTCTGTTGTGGTTGGGGGAGAACTGGTGCCAATGGCATGAGCAACTTGCATCTTGGTGCTTGAGGAAAGCACCGTTAATGCTGAAAGATACGTAAGTATTTTGGAGCAACGTATGCTGCCTTTTAGATGACGTCTTTTTCAGGGACATCCAAGCTTATTTCAAGATGAAAAAAGCAGAAAACATTCTGCATGTCTTGCAACAGCACAGCTGCATAATAAGAGAGTGCGAGTGCTTGCCTGGCCTGCCTGCCTCCTATTGAAAACATGGCACATTATGAAGTACAAAATACAACAACGAGGGCCCTATCTGGTTGCGCACCTAAAGACTTATGCAACTGAAAAATGGCAAAAAAAAATCCGCATTCAAAACTAGATCAGGTGGTGTCTTCAGTCCCCAAATTAAGTTAATTAAGTGCTGCTAAAAGGAAAGGTGATGTGTTTAACATCCTCATGTCCCAACTTTTTTAATAATATGTTGCAGGCATCATATTTTGAATGCGCAGATATTTATAAAAATTTCATAAGGTAAAAAATTGAATATCATGTTTTTGTGCTGTTTTCAAATCAAAACAGATCAAATGGAATTGACCATTTCTTGCTTTTTTATTGACATTTCACATACTGCCTCAACTTTGCCATTGGGTTTGTATATGAAAATAATAATACTGATAAAAAATCTCATTTTGAAATGTAAATAAGTTAAAAATGTCAGCATCCAATCTGTTCTATGGCAGTGTATTTACTTACTCACCAAAGGATGCATTGCAGATTGCAGTCTCACTGTTATATATAGGGTGCCATATGGCAACAATTATGTTTTATTTTACTTTTTGGAAAAATCACAGCATCTAAGCTGGTTTTATTTGTGAAAAAGAAACTGTTACTCTTCACTGACTGTGTTCATTAAGGATTTGTGTGTAAATTACATTTGTAAATGAGCATTATACTGGCGCCAGACCGCACCCTGTCATCTGTTTGTGTAAATGTACAGTCCACAAAATGAAGCCATCAAATAAGAGTATATCATTTCACACATAAAGCCTTTTTGCAAAAGAATAAAAAAAAACATTTATATTGTAGTCAATTGTTGCCATATGGCAATACCATGCACAAAGGGTTGTACTCATTACCAAACATCTAAAGTGTGTTAGGCGCCTACGCTATTCTTTATCTCATGCATGACCTGGAACTATGACAATGCATTTATGTTGACCTCAACTCAGTCTAAAACATTACCTTAAAAGACCGTGTACGTCAGGTACTGTTTAGAGTTTGGGTGTGCATAGATAACATTCAGTACTGTTTTTGCTTAACATTAACTGTGCACGCCCTACTTCAGCACTACTTAAGTGGGAAGATTTTTGTCCAAAGCCACTGGGACATCCAGCTGCCAGCCTGCTACCAGATTTAGTTCGTCCGCTGCTGACTCCAGTACCACTCCAAGTGAGTAGCCTGCTTTTTATATTAATCTCACACCTTAGCTTTTATATTTAGCTTTTTATTGATCTGATTTGTAGACTTTAGTTCACAAATTCAAATATATTCATTATGATGTATTTCAATGTTCAAATATATTCATTATGATGTATTTCAATGTTCAATAGGTTGTTCCAAAGAAGGCAAAATGATGTCATACATTTTATTTAACCCATAAAACGAATGTGAAATACTTTACTAAACTTTCAAACTTATTTTCAACATTTAAATTTATTTGAAACACAATCACAAAAATTGAAATCGTAAAAGTTACAATAGCACATCTCATTAGTGTGTGAACTAATGTGTCGTTCAGTCAATAATTTGCACAGAAATTTAAATTTATTTTGTATCACCCACTTTCTAGGTGTGCATTATGTGTATCTGAACATTTTTGTATGTTTTCCATAACTGATTTTTACTTTTATCCTCCAAATTATAGGCAATGATGAAGAAACTGGGAGCTGAACTAATGTTGGGTTTGTCCTTGCTTATTCTGTGAGTATGCAAAAGGATGCCAGATGTGCCAGCTGTTCTATTAGTATCTAAATAGCTTTTTCTATTAATTTCTACAATGATTAACAGTCATTTAAACCTGCTGGTGGGCCCAAAGATTTATTACACACCTCTATAACCTAAGAATAGCTCAACTAGTTTGCATTAAAGTCCCTGTAGTTACTGAATAATAAGCCTTAGCATGTAATAAGCCTGAGATTTTAACAGGTTTAACTTCTTACAGCTTGCAGTTCTGCTAACTTCACTGCATTCATTTCATTAAGTAGGAATGACCTTATCTTGCTTATCACACTTGACTTACATAACTATTTGTGCATATATATTGACATAGCAGGTTAAATTAATGCTAAGGTGTGGTCAGACAGGTATGAGGTGGCACTGCCATTCTGTAACCCAGTTTCATTAAAGTCAAATCACTTTGTGGTCAAGGAATTGACCTCTAATTCAACAAACATACAACTGGCCCATTTATGTCCCAGGATAAACTGTTAAGAAATGGTTTAATTTAAAGTAACAGAAAGGCCAAAAATCCAATTTACACAGTATCCTCCCTTAGTTACGTTGAGTTGTTGAGTAAACTCAAATATTCCATTTTTTGCTTATATTGTTTCTGACACGGTATGTCATACCGTTAACTATAAACATGGACAAAAGTACAGACATCACTCACACCTTGCGATGGCTGCACAATGTACTTTTTACACAATGTACTTTTGTCCATATTTATAGCTTACAGTTGGTCATAGAGTTTCAGAAACCACATAAGCAAGTCAGTTTGAGATGACCTACAGGGGAAATCCACTGGTTTAAAAAAATGTATTTTTTTTTTTTAGTTGAGATGTAAACAGTCATTCAGAGTGGTTTGATGTCAAATGGTTCATTAGGATTGTCTTTACGGTGGTTGTGTACAACACGAATATAACCATTTTATTTACTATCCAAAACCACCACCACCTATATGTGTTATCCGAGTTTTTGTATGTAATGAATGGTGATTCTGGAAAAAATGTTTTACTCAGTTCACTACACTGTTAGAAATAAAGGTCCTGTGCAAGTAGATTTTTCATTCATCAAGGTACAAACAATGTAAATGTTTCCTCAAAGGTACAAGAGTGGTTTTAAGGTCTAATTGTGCACCTTAAATAAGTTTCTCCCAGGTAAAAAGTACATATTTGTACTTTTTCATAACCGAATGTTTTAAAACAGAACAATAAAATAAAAAGCCTGGAGACGAGACGGGGTGTGTGGAGTCAGTACAACTTAGAAAATATCATTTCAGTGGATTATGGTACAGTTATGTTCTCTGACTAAAGGTACTGAGATGTACCCTTGAGGGTACCACCCCAGTGACAAGAGGGGTTCTGCCCCAGTGACAGTTTCATACCTTTATTTCTGAGAGTGTATTTTGCCTTACAGGGCCCTGCATATAGCTTTTATAGTCATAAACTTTTTAGACGTCTGGTTCCATTCACCACCACTGAGAACAATTCTGTCTTGGTCAGTTTCTGTAGAACGGAGGATTTCACACCAAACCACTCCGAATGACTTCGTTAACATCCTAACGATTGAATTGTACACTCTTAAAACAGATGGTTCTTCAAGGGTTCATTAGTAAAAATAAAGAACCTTGAACACACAAAGAACCTATTGCAGAATGAAAGGGATCTTTGCATTACAAAAGGGGTCTTCAGAATGTGCTATAGATGGTTCTACCTAGAACCTTTTAGAAAAGCGTTCTATATAGCACTAAAAGGGTTCTTCTATTGTTATGATGTCAAGCTTGTGCTTTTCAAGTTCAAAAAGGTTTTGTATAGAACCATCTACAGCACATTCTACATCAATCTGAAGAACGCTTTCACGATGCAAAGAACCCTTCAATCATGCAAAGGGTTCTATGTATGTTCATGGTTCTTTATGGAATCATTT